GAAACAAGCGGCTGATGAATCAAGTTCTAGGTGTTTCACAGTCCAACAGGTGATCGATACTTTGGTTTATTCAGACTCTGCAGGGTGATAATTTCATAAAGAATACGTTCTTGAAGTGACACTGTCAGTGAGAGCGCAAATGATGAGGAAAATCACAAAAATTATAAATCTTGAAATAGATCGATAGTAGGAGAAGTGGGTGTGTCCCTTAAACGACAGCATCTGGTGTTCACTTTATGAAACAAAGTTGATCGTGATGAGTGGATTCGCAGACAAAGGTGAAATATTGGCGCTAGATAAAAGGTAAGCCTATTTTCTCCAATGTCTCCAAGTTTTATCATATTCTAGCCACTCGTTTGCATGTAACTAATATTTTTGTATATCATGTTGGTTTTTTCGCGGTAATGCCCAGTAGCTCAGGTTATAGGGACAGTTAGGTTCAGGGCCTCAGGTCTGGTAGGGTTAACAGACTGATATAATGATTATAACACTGGTCATTTTACCACACACAAAAATCTAGGAAATACTGGTTATAATACTGATTATTACACTAGACTGGAAAATACTGGTTATAATACTGATATCTGTACTATAGGCTGGGAAATACCAGTTATAATACTGATATTTATACTGTAGGCTGGGAAATACAGGTTATAATACTGATTATTATACTAGACTGGAAAATACTGGTTATAATACTGATATCTATACTATAGGCTGGGAAATACCGGTTATAATACTGATATTTATACTATAGCCTGGGAAATACCGGTTATAATACTGATTTTTATACTAGACTGGAAAATACTGGTTATAATACTGATATTTATACTACAGACTGGGAAATACTGGTTATAATACTGAAAATTATATTTTTAGGCTGGAAAATACTGGTTATAATACTGATATTTATACTACAGACATGGGAAATACTGGTTATAATACTGATATTTATACTACAGACTGGGAAATACTGGTTATAATACTGAAAAATATACTTTAGGCTGGGAAATACTGGTTATAATACTGATCTTTCTATAATACATTTAGAAATACTAATATAGACATTCTACAACAGGCTGAGAAATTCTGGCAATTTGACCATGGGCTGAGAAATATTCGTTATAATCCTTGTAATTCTCTAACAGGTCAATAAATACTGGTCATAATACTTGCAACTCTACAACAGACTGAGAAATACTGGCTGTTATCCTGGCAATTCCACAAACTGCTGAGAAACAGTTGTACAATACCGGTTATTCTACAAAACGCTGAGAAACGCTGGTTTTAATATGGCCTGCTGAAAGTAACTAAAATTTATTTTATTTAGCCTGGTTGAAAGTAATCTTTAGTTATACAGCCTGGTTGAAAGTTAACTTACAAAGCCAGCTGAAGTTAACTTTTACATTACTTAACCTGCTGATAGTTACTTTTAGATTTAAAAAAAAATCTATTCAAAGTAACCATTATATACACTGTATATCCTAATAAAAATAGATTTCAAATTATACAGCCATCTGAAAGCAATTTTTCGATAATATACAGTATTCAAAGTAACCTTTATATTATACTCTGCCGAAAGTAACATTTATATAAGAGTCTGCTAAAAATAACATTTATATTATAGTCTGCTGAAAGTAACATATATATTAGAGTCTGTTGAAAGTCACATTAATAGTATACAGTGTGTTGAAAATAGCATTTATATTATAGTCTGTTAAAAGTAACATTCATATTACAGTATACTGAAAGTAACATTCATATTACACAGTCTGATGAAAGTAACAATTATATTACAGTCTGTTTAAAGTAACATTTACATTACACAGCCTGCTGAAATTGAAATTTAAAGTTTACTGAAAGAAACTTTTATATTATGTAGCTTTTTGAATAAGAAAATAACTTTTACATTTTGTAGCTTACTGAAAGTAACTGTTTATTACATTATACAGCTTACAAGATAAATTATAATATGATATTTTGTGTGTGTCAGATATTAATGACAATGTCTGTCTACATACAAATGTAAAATTTTACAGATAGACAGGCAGGAATGTTGGCAGACAGACTTGATTGAGGGGGGGGGGGGGGGGGGGGGGGATAGATTTGTAGGTCTACATATGTAAGCAGGTATGTGTAACTAGGCAGGCAGATTTATAGAAAGAAATGCTGAAAGGTGGATGCACAGACAGAAGAATAAACAAACATATGCATACTAACATGTTAAAAGTGAAAAACGTAGAATATAATGCAGGAAACAAATGTAGTTTTCAATGGTCCAAAATGTTGCTTATGTTTTACCAGGGCAGTACTAGCACCTTTCAGCCCAACACATCTGGTTTTAGCAACCCAGTAATTAGTTACTTTTCACAACATTTTGTTAGTAGGCACTAGCTGTTCTTCTTTCGTTCACCTGAAATAAGTTGTCTGCATGAGCAATTTTTGTCTCTCGTATAAATTGCATTCGTTTGACTGGGCCCCGGAACCCACAGCTTTCAATCTTTAGTGTGCATTCTTAAATCAACCATTTCCCTCAGCTTCTATGACAGCCAAACAACGGTCAATTTATTTATCATAACTAATGCTTTGGGTGGTGAAGTCATCAAGCCGTTTGCAGCGTGTCCTGAATGTCGCGAGTTTACTTCGCAGATGCAGCATTCAGATAATGCTTGCAGTTTTTAGGAAGATCCCTAGGGACCACCGCTGGAGTTACAAAGTTCAAGCTTTGTAAGACGCTCTCAGCAGACGACTAGCGATTCTGCAAAGACAGCACAGGCCAAATGGGATAAAACTTCATGCAATGAAGTAGATTCTTTTGACTTTAAATATTTCTCATGTCAGACTATGATATGTAAAATAAAAGTTGATCCTGGCTACAAAGTGAATAATTACAACAGATAAACTACTACTGGCCATGCAAAGCTTCATGCAAAAGTGCGTACAACTGGAAGGTAGAACAATGTGTCAGCATAAAGAACAGAAAATATATATAAAGGAAAAAAGCATAAAAATCACATCTGTTTGATTGGCTGGGTTGGCCAATAGGTTAGGAATGCTGGGATCTTATGTGGGAGACCCAGCTTCACATCCTCTGTAAGGTTATGGTTTTTTTTTTTTTTTTTTACTGCACAGTAAATTATATATATACATATTATTTATATATATAGAGAGGTATATATTATATATATATATATATATATATATATATATATATATATATATAACTACATCCAGCTTCAAATGGTGATTAAGTTTTTATACCATGGCTATTTGGGGATTATGCAGTTTCAGAATTCCAGCATACCAGACTCAGGTGTAGGTGATTTGACAGCCGACCATTTTGTGTTGATTTCGACAACAGAAGGAGCACTGAACTGTTTATGGTTATTATTGGGTATTTAATTGTCACTTCCCAAAACTTAACCCTGCTGCCCTGAGAAATGCACAACAGACTCTTCCTATTGGGTTCAATTCCCTGTAAATGTCACCTGTCCAACTTGTCTAGAGTGACTATGAGATAACATAGTTAATGCTATGAGTTCGTACCTGCGCAAATGTTTAGGAGGTCAGGATCTGAACATATTAGCTAAAAACAAATTTTAGGGAGTTTCCTTGGGAACCAAAAAAGCCTTTTTAGAGCCAAGTTTATGCAAAATTATCTGTGACAGAGGTCACAGCATGAGTCACCTGAAATGTTATTAAGGCTCTGGGGAAGGTATTCCATTTAATATTTGACTCTGTATGTGCTTATTGATTACTACCGGTATGATAGTGACCATATTCCCCATCAGGTGCCAGTTGGTCTTTTAAAAATACTGACCTCGCAGGCGCTATGTCAGATGTCCCACTAAAAAAGGTCCTTATTTATTTTTTTTTAAATTACAATTTTATCAGTTAAAATCTTTACACGTACCAATGAAAGACCAAAAATATTGCAGAGAAAAAACTGTCATCAGATAAATCAAACTAAACTCATTTCATTGTGTGAAATAAAGATATCTATAACTTAAAATAATATATATTTTAAATTAAAACCTAGTCAACATCAAGTAATTTTTATTAGTATCAAATAAGCCAACATTTATTGAACAAATAAAAAAGAAAGGAACATCCATTAATTAAATTCAGTTTCAGATTTTTTTGTTATAATAAACATAAACTCGTTAGTTAAAATAACAATATGCTTGTTTTTAGTCATTCCTACTCTGAGTTATAATTTGGGTTAAGCTTAACCTTTTTTGTTCTGTAATACGCTATTCTGGCTTTGCACATCCACATAAATACCACTCAATCAGCGCTACTGCAGACACTTGCTACAGAGAAAATAAATGAATGAGAATAGTTTGTTTGTGACTGCGAAGTATTAGGAGCCCCCCCCCCCCCTTTTTTTATTTACATATTTGCCAATTAGTGATCACCATAAACTGGTTGTTGTTTAAAAAAAAAAAAAGCATCCTATGGATATTCTCTCTAGGTCATGCCAGTGTGTTGGGAAATGAGCAGGCAGATAGACTGGCCGGTTCCGCACCACTTGGTGGTGAACTGATGTATGACAAGCTAGACGTTGTGAGCGAGTGAACGGTGCAGAAGCGCAAATAGAGATAATTGTGGTCTGAGGAGAATGGCGCTGTGAGTAGTCACCAGGGAATCTGGCCGATGCTCAACACTCAAGGAAAGGGCGAGACAGTTACTAATACCATCAGAATTGCTGAAGATGGAGACGGAGCGCTTAAGTGGGTGTCCCATGTGCTATGATGTTGATTCTTAATTCAACATTCATTAAAAAAAAAAAATCTTTAAAAAAACAAACAAACCCAGGATCAACGTTTTATCTTGCAAGGACAGCCAAAGCGAAAATGTTTAACCCAGTCTTCTGAAACAAAAAGCTGACATTACAGGCAGTTTCTGCACATGATGATATCTGGTTATGTTATTTATGTTTCTAGGATACAGAAAGACAAGACTGGAAATTGCATACGAGCCAAGCACCAAGCAGCTACCTGAAAATGCCCTACCACGATCACAGACTTCACTGGGTACAGGCCTCCCGTCCGGCAACACATGTACAGCCACAGGCTGAACTATTTTCAGCTCCTGGAGAAGACAGGAGATGGAGATATTAAAACATGGAATATGAATAACATAACCCTTGACCCATTAGGGTCGTTGAGGTGTACTGATGGAAGCACTAGCACATAAAACCCACCATCTATCTCTTCCGCTTGACTAATAAGTGTACGATAACTCAGTCCTGTTCATTTCTTGATGTTGTCATTCCAGATTCTTTTTTCCCTCCTCTTCTTCAACTACCCCTAATGTTCCTTGAAGTACAGTCTTTGCAAATCAAATCATGTCTCACCAGGTGCCTAAACCAAGCTAGCTTGTGACGTTTCACCACTGCCAAGAGAGGCTCCTGATGTCCCGCAAATTTATATAGTTTGTCTCTTACATATTTATTAGTTTTGTGTTCTGAATAACTAATTTGTAAAATGCGTCTGTAGCATTTACATTCAGAAGCCTGAATCCTCCTTTCCATTGCCACAGTGAGAGTCCAACTCTCACATCCGTATAAGAAAGTAGATAATGCCAGTGATTTGTAGATACTGACCTTGACTGTGATGTTGATTTTGCTCTTCCACATTGTATTCAGCTGCGACATCTTGGCTGTTGCCATGGAATATGAATAAGGTTAAATAAATGTTTTCCCCCTCTAGATTGCTACCCGAAAGTTTATGCTCTTCCTCCACCTTCTCCACCTCCTTTGCATATTTTTCAGACATCAACATAAATTAAAAGAAAACAAAGATCAACTTAGGACAGCTGTTGATAACAACGCTAAATTTGTAAAAAGTGAAAAAAAGTGGAGACTAACCCCCCCCCCCCCCCACCCCCCCGCACCACCCACCCCCCACCCCCCCCCCCCCCCCCCCCCCCCCCCCCCCCAAATATAATAATAATTAAACTACACATTCATTAACTGGTGCCTGTGCAGACTAAAATGGTATGTCAGAATCACCACTCGGTGTGGGGTGGTGGTGGTGGTGGTGGTGGTGGGGGGGGGGGGGGGGGGGGGACCATAAACAGATTCCAGCAAATCAAGAGATGAGAAGAAGATGCTAGAGCTGGATAGGACACAGAATGAGAAAACCTTATAACAGTGTATCCAGTTCCTGTGTGGGTTCTTGGGCCCCACAGAGGATTGGGGGGGGGGGGGGGGGGGGGGAAATTAGGCCTACTGCACTCCTAATGAGGATGCCATAAAAGGTTTCTAAGTAAGGGTTTACTGAAACAATGTGCTTGGTCAAAAAACATAGGCACTGCAGCCTTGCTGTAAACCACAACATAATGTCACAACTATCCTTTTAAAGGTAAAGGCAGAAGAAGAAGCATATCTAGAAAATCCTGTCTCTTGACGAGGACAAAAGGAAAATAAATAGGCAAATGTGAAAACAAAACTGGAGACTAGAAACAGAATCACAGATGAATAACATAGAGAGGAAATATTCAAGACTGATTATATTTTACCGCTACTATAATTCCAGATATTAGGTTTGATTCTAGCTGTAGGCAATTGGGCAGCAGATCGCCCTAAATTGATTTCAACAGTGGCATAGAGAGTTGTCGATTCAGAAAGCAATAGCAAACTACTAAACATTAAAAAAATTATACAGAAATAACAAACAGCCAAAAAATGCTGGGGTTGGTTCTGCAATGTCCTGTAAAGGATATGCAACTAACTTTTTTTCTATGAATGAAGTAGTTAGTATCACACCAGTTTTATTTTCGTGCCAGCATATGTTGGAATAAAAGAAAATGAGCAAACTGATAGTTTTGCAGGTAAGGCTAATGTGGAGATGAGACAAGCAATAGACAAGCTGATATACTGAATGCTCTACAAGAAGTAAGATGACTACAAGAATCAAATGATGAATATGAATCTGCAACTATAACCAGACTACAAGAATAGCAAGTAAAAGTAGGGAGGACAAACAAAAGCACTATGCAGGAAGCCAAAGAAGTAAATCAGGAAAGAACTTGCATCCTCAGCCATTACACGCTGTGGGATTTACAGAGAAGAAGTAACAAGCATTTATGGACTGAACGGTTTTATGTGCAATGAGAAAAAAAAAACTAACTAACTAATGCCAACAATTACTAGCCTTTTATGAAAAAGGTTTCTATGTCTGAAATGCTGAGCCGAGTTAAGACATCACAGCACTTAGGATGTTCATAGAAGGGCTTGGTCACAATTTCAAGGGCATCCACAGTTCCAATTCCAAAGGTACTAGCAGCAGTTTGCTTATATTTTTGTCTTGACTTTCCTCTGAGTGTTGAGAGTCGGCCGAATCCCCTTGTCATCCCTACTGCACCATTCTCTATATATGGTGATGATCTATTAGCATTTCCTCATTATTTACTTGTTCCCAGAGGGCCATAACCACATCCACCATGCATCGCCAACAATTGGTGCAGAAACAGCCAAACTGCCTGCCTATTTCTCTTTATAATTCCCCAGTATGCCCTGGAGAAAAGATCCAAGGGATGCTAAAAGCTAGCTTTGGCAGCCATCCATACAACTTACAAAATTATAAAAATGGCTTATTATAACCTAAGATAAATGCAGATAAACAAAACATACATTTACAAAAGAATTTGGCAAGGAAAAGCACCCTTATGTTTATAAAAGGACAATGTAAAAGCAGAACTTACGGGATCTGCACTAGGTTTTGCAAATTCAAAATTAGCTAGGTGGGCTGGTGAATGAAGCTCTCCAGAATCAGGCGACTCTGATGCAAAAGCTGTCCACTGCAACAAGAAATGTGCAAAGTTTAGATAAAATTGTAAAGTTTAGGTAAAAATACAAGTCTTTTCACATATGTTATCACATACATCAGTGGAGACATAATATTCAGACAGACCTACAAATGCTTCGAGACATCAGTTAAAGAAGGTCACCTGCAGAGATGAATGGAAGTAGATGATATCTGCAGTGAATCAGAATATAGAAGTAGTAGTTAAATGTGATCAAATTTGACATTTTCTTCTTCACTGTTCCTGAAAAGAAATTATTTCTTCTGTCTTTCATCAATCCTGTCTTTCAGGTCCTTTACATCAGGGCACACCAATGATCCCTCTTTCTCTGGTCAACTCTCCAGCCCTATGTGCTTTCTAGGCCAATGCATCTTGAATGTCTTTCATGACTTTTGGCGATGTTTGCCTCTGCATCATTTTCTGCAAACTCTGCCTCTGCATTGTTTTCTGCAAACTATACCCACCCTTACTGTTCTCTCCTGGCCACCACACTTAACATGGCCAAAATAACTTAGCTTTTACGGACAGGATGTTGTCTATGATCTGATTCTATTAGATGTTGTCTATGAGACAATTCTCCTCGATGCTCAGACCATGCAGGACACGATGTCAGTGTTTTTCTTGGTCCATGGTATTTAAGAGTTTGTCTGTAACATTTCACCTCAGTAAAAGAGGTCACAGGATGAATCAACCAATACATATTTGTTTTAGGTAGCCGGGAGAATGCATTCTGTTTAATGCTTCATTGTGTCTATCGTGTTTTTTTTTGGGGGGGGTGGGGGGGGGGGGGGGGGGGGGGGGGGGGGGGGGGGGGGGGGGGGGGGGGGGGTTAGTTAGGGACAAAATGTAGATAAAATTGTTTCAAAATTTATTAGGGACCTGTGTAAAATGATTGGTGTTTTTTTAGAATAAAAAAAAAAAAAAAAACATTCAAAAGGTTCATGATCCACTTTTAAGCATTTGCTGGGAAAAAGAGTTAATTACCTACGGCAATAAAGATATTTCTTCCCATTTAATTACTTCTTCTTCTTTGTTCACCGGCTGTAAGCGTCTATAGAAAGTCAAGGTTGTTCATCCATTTGGACTCTGGCTTAGTGCCAGGGTCAGAAATTTGCATGTACATTCATTTTATTGGTTTATTTGTGCGGTTTGGGCAGATGCACTTCGACTTCAAATGGGGTTCCCAACTAGTTTACTCTTACGTCATGCCTCTGGGAGGGGGGGGGGGGGTAGACAGTGTGTCAGTTCTTGTTGTTTCCCACAATAGGGCCCAGGAACCCACATAGGGGTAATTTGATTACAAGAAACATATTGGTAAAATAAACTGTAGATTTTCCCTTTGAAATATAGTAAGCTTGTCAGAGTTACAACTTCAAAGGAAATGGGTTTCCAATAATGTCTCCGCTTCTGTGCCAGTGAAAACCACACATGATGCCTATCAATGCCACAGGTAAAAAGTTTAACAGACCGTAGAGTCCTGGTAAAGCCAACAATGTGCACACACCAGAGATGCCAACATCAATTCAGTTAAAACTCACTCACTCACCTGAGCTACAATCTGCTGTGGTGAAGGTGGTGTGGCTCTCTTGAGCGTACTGCCAGGTGGAAGGTCTGCAGCAAAAGGCTCATCTAAAAAATAGCAACAATATTCAAGTTACATTAATTAAATGCTTGTCCAATGTTATAAGCTGAAATTTTTTTTCTCCAAATGGACACTGGTACTTGAACAGTCAGCGCTCATGATAATAAGTTAGCTGCGTATCCTTTACAGGACCCTGCAGAACAAACCACGACATTTTTTGGCTGTTGTGGTTTTTCTAGGCAAATTTTAAGTTCAGTAGAACTGCTTGAGATAAAGGTTTAACTTTAAATTTGTCTGAAGGAGTTCATGTTAATGTATTTTCATCAAGTAGTTACACCTCTTATGTTGACAATTGCCCGGCTCGCTAGTGCAGTTGGCTAAACCGGGTGTCGAACTTCTTGTGGTCCGGGTTCACACCTGGGGGTAGGCAAAAAAACCCACATGTCTCCCAGATTTACAGTATCTATCATGGAATCAAGGCTGAAGGGTTGCGATATCAATAGTACCAAGCCAAAGGGTCAACAACTCATGGTTTCTGGATACTTAAATTTTTTTTTTTTTTTTTACAAAATGTTGACAATTATGCCTCTCCATATCTTGCCATTTTCCAAAAAAAAAAAATCGTTCTTTTACATATAATCTTTTGTATTTCATCTAATAATTTACGACACTGTTTCAATTCAACCTTTTTTGTGGTTGGAAAAAACTTCCTCTTCTTGTTTTTTCTTCTTCAGTGTTTGCTCTTAATAGGTTGATTTGTTATGTTGTGGTTTACAGCTAGGCTGCAATATCTGCACCTTTTGGCCTAACAGCAATTTTCCTAACACTTATTATGTTGTTTTTTTAAACATGCTTGTAAAGGGTTACTAGTCTAGGGAAGAAAACCCTCTTCCCTCATATAGAGGACTGAACTAGAACTACTGAATTCCTCATGCGGGTTCCAGGGCCCCACTGAGGGGGAAAACAAGAACAGACCCATTGCCTCCCCAACAAGCATGTCATAGGAGTCTACTAATTAGGGGCATCCTTCGAAGTCAGAGTGCATCTGCTCAAGAGGCAGGGAACCAAGAGTCTGCACACCAATAAGCCAGATCTGTCAAACAAATGTGGATGCAACACTCAGGTTCTGAAGCAAGAACAAAGTCTGGAGGTAGACGAACACCCAGAACTTTCCCCCAGAATTTACATTAGATGAATGTGAAGAAGAAGAAACATTCAACTTGTAAGACAGCATACTATTCACTACACTACATCTTCTGACAACTGTACAGAAACACTGAAGAACAATATCTCACCACTAGCTAATGTGGAATATGGCATAAGAGACAATGGCAGGTGCTCTGGTAGCTCAATGTCATTTCTTCGCAGCACCACCAGATGCATAGCTATACAGAACTCTTCCAGAGAAAGCGCCCCATCACAGTTCATGTCCGACAGTTGCCTGCAAAAAATAATATGTTTAATTGTTATACTTCTTTATAATGAGTAAGCCAAATGTTTAGAAACAGCAAGTGCCCTAGACAATTACCGATTTAATAAAACAGCTTATCACAAATACCACAAGGATGACAGTCATCCTGTTTTGAAAATAGAGAATATGGAACCTACTGTGACTGCTGGAAAGACTTGTGGAAAGAAAGTTAGAGGGAGACAAGAAGATTCTAGACAGCTGTGTTACAAACATACATGCCTTATATCCTGTACAATTCTGTACAGCCAGTGATAACATTAACTATTCCTAAAAAGTCTACTTGAGAACAGCAAGTGATAAAGTTAACTATTCCATGAAATTCTCCAAAGAAAAATAGCAAATCAACACAGACCTGGTGTTATCCGTCACCACAGGCTGGGGTTTATAAAATTAACTGTTCCTATTCCACACAATTTTATTTTGGAGCAGTCAGTGATAACCTTAACTGTTTCTATTTAACAATAATTCTACTTTAGAGCAGCAAGTAATAACATTAACTGTTTCTATTTCACAAAAATCTACTTTAGAGCAGCAAGTAATAACATTAACTATTTCTATTTCACAAAATTCTACTTTAGAGCAGCAAGTAATAACATTAACTGTTTCTATTTCACAAAATTCTACTTTAGAGCAGCAAGTAATAACATTAACTGTTTCTATTCCACTAAATTATATTTCAGAGCAGCCAGTGATAACATTAACTGTTTCTATTCCACAAAAATCTATTTTAGAGCAGCCAGTGATAATATTAACTGTTTTTATTCCATAAAAATCTATTTTAGAGCAGCCAGTGATAATATTAACTGTTTCTATTTAACAATAATTCTACTTTAGAGCAGCAAGTAATAACATTAACTGTTTCTATTTCAGAAAATTCTACTTTAGAGCAGCAAGTAATAACATTAACTGTTTCTATTCCACTAAATTATATTTCAGAGCAGCCAGTGATAACATTAACTGTTTCTATTCCACAAAAATCTATTTTAGAGCAGCCAGTGATAACATTAACTGTTTCTATTCCACAAAAATCTATTTTAGAGCAGCCAGTGATAATATTAACTGTTTCTATTCCACAAAAATCTATTTTAGAGCAGCCAGTGATAACATTAACTGTTTCTATTCCACAAAAATCTATTTTAGAGCAGCCAGTGATAACATTAACTGTTTCTATTCCACAAAAATCTATTTTAGAGCGGCCAGTGATAATATTAACTAGTTCTATTCCAAAAAATTCTTTTTAAAGCATCTATAGGCATTAAAGGGCCTTAACTGTTTCTATCATTTTAAATTCTTCTTTAGGGAAGACAATATCGAGTGAGAAAAAGTTACAATAAAAATACTATTGCACAGAAAGAATTGAACTTCACAAAGAATAAGTTAATGTAACAAACAGTGACAAAACAAACAAACAAGAATGGGATACTTTCCATGGGCCCATCAACATACATATTTAGAGTGATTTGGTAAGGAAAGAGTTTAATACTTACCAAATCTTTGACAGCTCCACAACAGGAAGTTTAGACTTCTCAAAGAAATGCTTTGCAACTGGACCTAATGGTACAAGAATACTTTTAATATTTAGACATGATAACATATGTGGGTATGCTAGGACAGTGGGTACACATTTCAATATAATGCATAGGAACAGTGTAGGATTAAACTACATCACAAGAACAAAGTTGACAGATGAAGAGTTAATATATTGTAAAACAGAATAATGGTATTCCCGACCACTTTAACAATTCTCAAAGATAATTTACGCAATATGATTTTCAGAGTTATTTAAAAAGTACACTTAAAATATATGAAACTAAACAATTTATACTATTCCAATCTGTTACAGTTAATAAATAATTGATGCAATAATCACAAGTATTTGACAAGCATTGATATCCAGCCTCGTTAACATGAAATTGCCTTAAAAAAACTCAAACAGAATGAAAAATGCTGGTCCCAGCAGAGATGTACTGAGTACCCAGTTAACATAAACTCTTGATTTTTCAGACCTGTGGAATTTGTGTCAACTAGGATTTACTGCATAACAAAACTTTACATACTACAATTATAACCCAGATGAGTTTAACAGGATATTGTAGTTTAAATTACCAAACTACTACAAAGCACAGCCGGAGTGATGCTGACTATATCACCCACAAGTACCAACTGGTCTATAAAATATAGGTCTAGCCCTATATTCCTAATACCCCTGGAGGTGTGAACAAGGGTCCTTCACATAACCATAACATTTGTTTTTTTAAATAAAATATGTTATAATATGATTCACTTCTGTACATGAGGACTGGAATTAAAAAAGCTCCTAAGAACTCTATTTCTCTATACTGGAATTTAAAAAGCTCCTAAGAACTCTATTTCTAATGACAAAGAAAAATTGCACAGATCACTGGTAACAAGTGAGACAGACAGCAGTGGGCTTATATTGCGACCAACCCAAACAGCATAGACTGTGAGAAGAAAACAAAATAAGTCAACAGAGACGGTGGTAAGTTTCACCTGTAATGACTGCACTAAGATCAGGCTGCATTGTCTTGAACTGGTTAACATAATATTCCCTTTGCTCATCTGTGATCGTCCACACATCGTCGACGCTCTCAGTCTCCGAAGATATAGACGAGGAATCAAAGTTTGGGGGGTCCAAGGTAATGTATTGTTCTTTAACACCCGATCCTATGAGCACTGCAAAATATAAGGGCAACAGTTTACTTTACAAAGGATAAACAGCTGATTGTATTTTGACTCAAAAACTTTTAAGCCATGTGGGATAGGCAGTTGTTGCATTTCCCTCATACATGGACTGAAATTTTACATTTCTATTGCCCAGCTATTGAGTTGTGTGCATGATGCGACACTTTGAGCTAAGGATTTCATACTGAATGTTTTTTCAACAGTGTCCAATGTGGTATGCTGTGAACTGCCCATTGAGAAAATGGCAAATGGCCTGTAGCTATAGAAAATGTGGCACCTTTGGCGATATTGCATGTGCAACGGCCGATTTGTTGTACCTAACGCTTTCACTGTTCGCATAATGATGGAGCCTGACTTTTATAAAAAAAATAACCTTGACTCCCAGGTTAACCCAGCCTTGAGTGGATACCCGGCGCAGTCCCGGGAAGTAAAGATGGCTGGCATGTTACTGACCACATCACCCACCAAGTGCCGATTGGTATATAAAATATAGGTCTAGTCATATTTTACCAATATGCCTAAAAGTGTGGAAAAGGAACTTTTAATGCTTCCACTGATAACCAAATGCAGTATTAGTAGTGGGCCACTAACAGTGAACTGTTATTTCAGTGGTGTACTGTTTGTGTTGGCACTTCTGACAGCTACCTATGCACTTAATGTGTCGTATGCCATTGCCAAAACTGCAGTCTATTTCAATTTTATTTGTTTCCTATGAGGGACAGTGATAGGCATTCTGTGTTAATTCTTGCTGACACAGCAACAGAGAATTATGAGGGACCCCTTTGCCATGAAGCTGGAACTAAGTAACTAACTAACTAGATATGAAAGATATATCCGTCATGATCTGCTGCTACCTTAGTTGGCATGATGGATTATTCCTATAAACAAAATGTTTACAAATGGTATCTAGTGGGTATGATGAATTCAATGCTTGGGGCTTGCAGTGTTGTGACCACTAGAGTTTTCTAGAAGCACTATTTAGTGGCTTTCACACACATTTTAACCCTCAACAAACTTCATATTCCCCATTAAATAAGCATTTCTGCTGCAGTGGAACTATTCTATACACACACACACAATTATCTGAATGTAAACCATAAGGCACAACCAAAAAATGTTGGAGAGATAGTATACACTTGGACACAAATGTGTGGAGTCCCTAACTGGAAAGAGAAGGTCAATCACAGAGATGAATGGAGACGGGTGATATTTGCAGCAATAAACCTAGCAGGCTCAGAATGAAGAAGAAGAGGGAAGGAAAGAGGAAGAGCAGAAGAAGATTAAGAAGAAAATAATGAAAAGAAAGAGAAGAAGAAAATCGCTTCCGTTCACTGATAAGATATATTAAAATAATCAGAATCTTGCAAATATTTTAGCCAAACAAGATGACAAATGGAGAGCTGAAAATGAACATAAAATATTCACCACTGGCAAAGTTTATCAAAGGAAGAAGACAGAGAACTTGGACTGGACATAAATGCCTCGTTACATTGGCAAGGGCAGCTCTCTCATGGATGGCAGATGGGGGGGGGGGGGGGGGGGGGGAAGGAGATGTGAATGACCTAAGAAAACTTGGAGGACAACAGAAAGGGAAACGAAAACTGTAAAAATTACACAGGATACCAGGGGCAGAAAAGCAGTAGATCCCTTGTAAATGCTTTATGTTTTAAAAAAGACACGAAGAGGATATTGTTTGGGGAAAAACAAGGAAAGACCCTCTGCTTCCCCAACAAGCATGTCCTAAGAGTCAACTAACTGGGGGCCTTCCTTGGAAGTTGGAGTGCATCTGCCTGAGAGGCAAGGAACCAACAACCTGCATATAAATAAGTAGGATCTGTAAAATGGATGTGCATGCAACACTCAGGTTCTGGAACAAGACCAATGTCCAGAGGTGGACAAACAACCAGAACTTTCTGCCAAAGTTTACAGCCGGTGAACACCAAGAAGAAGAAGAAGACTTACTATGACTCTCCTCATCTTCAAACATGGTCCAGTTGCCGTTCTCCTGACCCTGCAGTTGATGATGTTGCGACTGGACACCGGGATTCTGAATGTGTCCAGCATGCACCTGGATACCGCCCACGCTGGGAATTGTCACATGACTTTTTGTGACCACAGCTCCGTCACTGAGAGCCACAGGGTTGACGTGTCCACCATCTCCGGCTAATAAGGAAGGGCTCACAAGGTGGACTGTGGCATCTGCGCTGTCAAGACTGCCTGACATGGTCATGTGGGAGGGGGCTGGGGCACCCGCAGATGACACACTGGTGACAGAGTTGGCAAATACTGTTGCTGGTGCTGTGTTCTGCTTCAAAAGTAGCTTCTGGTTGGCTGGAGAGGTTGGGGGTGACTGGGTTGGGGAGAATGGAGGTGACTTGGAGTTGTGAGGGGAATCATCCTTCACACCCATCTGTTATGAATAAGTAAAATAAAATCATAACTAAAAACACAAAAAAGCACAAGATAAGCCAAACTGAAAAAGAATATATGAGAGAAGACAATGTCAAATCCTTTTACCTTCTTGTGATCAAATCCTTAGGTTACACATTTAGACAAATTCTAATGTGTGTTTTTTTTTTTACATTCACCAGCTGTGAACTGCAACAAAAAGTCCTTGTTGCTCATCCATTCGTACTTTGGCTTTGTGCCAAGACCTAAGTTTTGCATGTACATCTGTTTTACTGGTTTATTTATGTGCACTATGATGTTCCTTGCCTCTGACAGATGTACTCCGACTTAAATGGAAGATCTTGATCTTATCTCTAGTATGAATGTAACCATGTTTCGTAGGACGTGACGTGGCCTTAACTGTGTGGGTGTCCTCATTATCATTTTTTTCTACAGGTGTTGCTTCCTAGAGAACCCATCCAGGGTACAAACGAAAGGGAAGACAGGGGCAGAACACTGGCATCACCCACTATCCATTGAGGCTTCCAGAAAAGCAGAGCCGACACATGACGCTCTGATCCTGGGCTCACCACATGAATCATCACTAGATCACCACCAGGAAGCAACCTGCAGATCAGGCACTACAAATGGGCAAAATCTTCTTCAGCATGTAAAACACCTTCAACATGGTTGCATCGGAAAACTTTGTATGACAGAAGAAGCATGCATCAGGCATGGCTCCCACTTATGCTCCTGACACTCCGACAAGTAGGGCCAGTAATTGCAGGTATATGAAATTTAATTTTCCTTTGACTTTAGTACGCTCAAATGCAGATCAGAAGGTCGTGGGTTCACTCCCTGGCAGAGTTGGATTTTTCAAAAAAAACGACCTTGGCACCCAGCCTTGAGTGGGTACCAGGTGCAGTCTTGGGAAGTAAAGGCAGTCGGCATGATGCTGACCACATCACCCATCTTGTGATGATTGGTCTATAAAAATATAGGTCTAGCCCTATATGCTTAAAAGGTGGAAAAGAGTCCTTTATTTTCCTTTCACTTCAGTAGACTTCTTAGTGCTATGATGGCTCATCCTAACTTCTCAATTCTTTTTTTTTTATATCACAATTTGTTTAAGGAGAAAAAAAACATTACCTGTGATGAAAACTGGCTTGACTGACTACTGACCACTACAGGCTGATCCGGCACAATTCCCCGGTACTGGCCAGATAATGAGCGACCATGGGATTTCTTACTTACAGGTGGAGGAGGCAGCTGGCCTGACAGCTGAGTATTTGTTTTGCTGCAGAAATAAAACCAAATGGTTAAAGGAATAAAGGCAGAACAAATAGTCTATACAAAGAAGTGAGTTTGAGAACTGGAGTGACAAAGATATGGAGGACAAGAGGGAATCTGTATGCAACAGCAAAGAACTGGATGACTTGACTCTGGTTTGTTTAGGACATATGCTCTAGTAATGAGATAAAGGGTAAAGAAGTAACACTGGAATATGTTCTGCTAAGATAGCAGCCTAAAAGTTTGGAGAAGAAAACTAACACAATTTAAAATGTTACCGAAAGAGAGGGGAAAGACAAAGCAGGAACATAACTTATTGAGATTTGCCACTGATGATCCCCCACACAGCTGGCATCATCATAGCACATATTCTTGACTCCAAAATATGTTTTGATGGGATGAGAACACAGGAAAAGATTGTAAAGAATAAAAAAAAAACATATGCTTTGATAATTTTTTCAAGGGAATAACTTCAAAAGAAGTTTTTTTTGTGGTGGATTGGGGGGGGGGGGGGGGGGGGGGGGGGGGGAGGGTCCTCATCACAACAAGAATAGCTTCCAAAGAACTATAAACTTCTTTCTCTTTTTCGTACTTACTGGCTGTAAACTCATGTGTAAAGTTCTGGCTGTTCATCCACTTCTGAGGCTCTAGTCCTGTTCCAGAACGTGAATGTGGCGTGCACATCAGTTTCACAAATCTGACTTATTTGTATGCAGACTGCTGGCTCCTTGCCTCTCAGGCTTATGTATTCTGACTTTGAAGGAAGCTCCCAATGTGGTCTCTTATGATATACTTTTGGGTAGGCAGTGGGTCTTTTCTTGTTTTCCCCACAATGGGAGCCTTGGAACCCTCACGGGGAGTATTATAAACAAACAAAGAATTATTTGCTTCCAAAGAAATTTTTTTTAAAGGAGAAGAAGAATCACCACTATGAATTATTTAAAAAAAAAACAGGAGCAGTTTCAAAGAAATATTTAAAACCCATAAAGAACTTCAACAAAATTATTGAAAAACACAAAAAAAAACAGGTATAGTTTCTACAGGAAACGTGTCTAATTTAAAACTAAATTTTTGTATGAGATCATATGCTGGACTTCCAATCACTCAGCACACCATACTGAAAAATCATTCCTCACACCTAACAAAAAAATTAATTCTAGCTCGGCCTATACTGACCTACCGGAGATAATTAACAAACAAATGAATGAAATCCAGTTCAGCCAATACTGACATGTCAGGGGTATTTAACAAACAAAGGAATTCACTCTAGCTTAGCCTATAATAACCTGTGTGAGATAACTAACAAATAAATTAATTCTAGTTCAGCCAATACTGACAAGTCAGGGGTATTTAACAAACAAAGGAATTAACTTTAGCTTAGCCTATAATAACCTGTGTGAGATAGTTAACAAATAAATTAATTCTAGATCAGCCAATAATGACCTGTCCGAAATAGTTAATGAGCAAAAGATCATAAATAATGCACATGAATTAACTCTATACAAACCTGTCTGAAGCAACAGAGTCAGGCTCTCCGGATGATTTCTTTCTGTCACTGAGCACAAACCTTACTGGCAAAAAGACAAAGAAAAAAACAGTACAGCCAAAACAAGAGAAAACTAAATGTTAAGACACGTTTATAATTTTTTCTGCTTCTTAGCATTCACCAGCTGTAAAATCCAGAGGAAAGTTCTGGTTGTTTGTCCGCTCCTGGACTTTGGTCTTCATTCAGAACTGTTTTGTGTGCATGTCCATTTACAGATCTGACTTATCTGTATGCAGTCTGTTGGTCCCTTCCTCTCAGACAGATCCACTCCGACTTTCTTCTTCTTCTTTGCGTTAACTGGCTGTAAACTCTGGCTGAACGTTCTGGTCGCTCGTCCATCTCTGGACTTTAGTCTTGATCCGAACATGAGTGCTGTATGCACATCCGATTATCAGATCTGACTTATCGGTATGCAGACTGCTGGTTTCTTGCCTCTCAGGCAGATGCACTCCCACTTTGAAGGAAACACTCCTAATAGCTGTATCCTACGACATGCAGTGGGTCTATTCTTTGTTCTCAAAACAAACAAAAAACAAAAATCAAAAAAAGGAACCCAAATGGGGATTTCACTCTTTCAGTTCTGCGGCAGATTATCAAATAATCATCATGACAAATTATGAGTGTATTACTTTTAGTGAAGCTAAATATATGAATGCAATGAAAGTTAGAGCTGGGTAACCGGATGTTTTGGTACACTGTGACCAAATGTAAAAAATAAAAGAACACACAATGTGACAGGAAGATTCAAAAGTTGCAAACAAATCACATGCTGCCTGGGAATGAAAGGATTGAGTCTACTTCTTTCTTTTAAATGTTCACCGGCTGCAAACTGCGATGGAGAGTTCTGGCTGTTTGTGCACTTCTGGACTTTGGTCTGGTGAGTTTTGTGTGCGTAGTTACAGATCTGGCTCATCTGTACACAAACTGCTGGTTCTCAGGCATATTTCCTCCGACTCTGAAGGAAATATCTATCCCATCTGCACAGACCAGTTGACAAACACAACACAGCTAGGGATATTAAGCCACAACTACTGGCACAACAAACATTTAAACCACTAAACTTGGTGCAAACAAGACAAGAGCACGGCCAAATGTGGTAAATTTTTGCCTATCTTCCCCCCCCCCCCCCCCCCCAACAAAAAAACTTCCTCATTTAAAAATATTAGTCCATTTTGGCGTTTTGGCATGTAAACAGACCATACTATCTAGTTACTCAAGCAACAATGGCATATCTTTTTAGCCACATTATGAGAAGAGAAAAACTGGAATCTGTGACAGCTAGAAAGATTTATAGAGATAGGAAGGCAGCAACAGAACATGCTTTACATCCTTTCATCATGGCATGGGAGGAAGTCAGCATATGACCTGATGCATGCTGCATCAAGACATGCAGAAGCATAACGGCTAACACCAGTCAGCACAGCACTTCATGGTGACAGAAGGAGTTGATACCTTTCTGTCTCTCCAGGCTTCTGTGTTACACTGTTCTATACTTAGGCAGGGGAATCACAACCTTTGGCAAGGGCAAGGTAATCAGGTAAACACAGTTCCAACTTCATAGCAATTGAGTCACCCTCATTTATTCCTGTGCGAACTAAACCCCACAGAATATCCATCACTGTCCCTTGTGATGCAGACTGCAGTACCAGCACACCCAACAGCATATACACGTATCAAATGTGAGAGGCAGCCATCAGAAGTGCCAACACAAACAGCCTGACACTATAAATGCAAATGGCAAGAGTCTAGGAAGATAAGAAGCCTGACAGCCATGACTTTTTTTTCTGGTAGAAGTAATGGTACGCATTTCCAGCAGCTGTTTTAAGCATCAGTTTTTTCCAGCACTACTGTAATAATAAACACATTGTAGTAAGTAGTGGCACCCTTTTTTCCCCATTTAAAAAGCCCTTATGATCGCTTATATCAATCACAAGGATGATGATGATAATACTGACGATGATGATGATGAAAATGGTGATGATAATGATGCTACTGCTGATGATATAATGATGCTGAAGATAAGATGATGATGATGCCCTGCTATGCTACTATCTGATAACACAAGTGACAGATACTGCAGAGCTGTACTAACACAGACAAACTTTGACATACATTCTGTACCATTGTAGGTCTCACACCAAGCCAGAACTAAACATGAACAAGCTTTCATTTAATCAGGTCAAGGTTCTCAAATAGTTTTAGTCCAAGCACAATTGAAATATGTCAGTAAATAACTTTGTCTTTCTCTCTGTGTGTACGTATGTATGTCTCTCTCCCTTACACACTTCATCAGTCTCTGTCACACTTTGTGTCTATCTCTCTGCTTGTGTGTGTGTGAGTGTCTGTCTCTCTTTTCTGTCTGTGTCTACCTATTTCTATGATTGTCTCTTGCTCACACAATCACATTTTACAGTAAGGAAAAAAAAATCAAGAAAAGAAACAAAACTTTACCCATACAATAAAACAAAACAATGAAATACCTTGTTCACCGCCTTTAGATGAAAACTTTGGTAATGGGATATCTTTACCTGTATAGGGGAGAAGGAAAAATAATAACAAAAGCAGCTACAGATTCAGAAAATGGCGAGTGGACTGTTGTCAGAGAATAGGTGGTGTCTTATGTAGTTAATTTCCTGTGCAACTACCAATCTGTTGTAACTGCTGCTCCCATCGAGGATAAACTGCATTTCTAGTTCAAGGCTGTTTGAGTTATCACTTTTGACGGCTGCTTTATGCATTCAAGGTGTGTGTATGCTATAAATCTACTGGGACTGCTGTCTGTGTTAATATTTTCAGAAGGGACAGTGATGGGCATTCTGGGTAGTTTTTCTTGGCATGCCAACAGAGCAACTATGGAGTGACAAGTCTGCTATGAAGCTGAAACTGCAGTTACCTGAGGATCTCTAATTCTCCTCATGCATTTTGGTCTGCCTTTATTGACCCTGTGGATTCTAGTGCATTAGCTTCCTTATTTTTGTCTGCTGTATTCTTAAATATTTCTTACATCTTTTTAAATGGCAGAAGATATCTGAGGTTTAGTTGTGAGAGGAGTCCACAAGCTTATCATACTGGACTCTGAAGATACTTGTGATTTTGTAGCAGACCACATGAAGTTGATTTTGTCTGCGGTAGTGCTCAGAAAGCAATGGCAAATTAATTCATTTCCCAGTAAAACTGTTAACAGCCAAAAATATTGGGGTTTGTTTGCAGCATGTTCAAGAGGATTTAAAACTAACTTTAAGTAGCAACATGTGATAAGCGTGATCTGGTATCCATGTCCAGGCTGCTGGATGGTTGGGGGGGGGGGGAACAGCTGCCAGAAATGAACACCTCACAAAGGCACACAATACTGTAAAGGTAAAGTCCGGAGATGTAAACTAGCGTCATTGCACATGGTTATAAACCATAATGCCCTGCCACCAGTACAGACAGCTGATAAGAAACTGTTCGCCTGTGTCGCCGTCCGCGTGCAACTCCGTAGCTAGAGAGACATTCCTCCATTTACCCCAGAGTGGTACAAATTTGAAACTCTATTATTCTGAGACTGATATTCTCTCTGACATCTCCTCTATAAAGATTGCTGCGTCTGGCCTCTTGCAAACTGCCATAGTCCATTTTTGACTGTCTTCCTCCATAGAGGTCAGTCTGCAGCTGATCTCTCCCAAGTTTCCGTGTCAATGCTGGTATCTAGCACGTCAAGTTTGCATATGTCCCTACAGCATGGCCATATACAGGAGATTCTTTGGCACGCCCTCGTCCTCCACGCGGGAGACGTGTCAAAACCTGTGCATGCGTCTTTCCTTCAGCAGAAAGTACACTGCTGGCAATCCTGCTTTTTTGAGTACACATTCAATGGGGACAAAGTCTCACCATGATATAACAGACATTGTGTCTACAGTGCACGTGGAAAGTATTCAGTTGATACATTACTAACACCCAGTTAATTTTGGTGCATTTTCTGACAGTGTGAAGTGGCATCAATATGCTCTACCTGGCGTATCGTAAGAGGGGAATGAGGGTAGGTTTGGGCTAGGCTACCCCGCACTAAAAAATATAGCCACAAAGGCCAACTAACAATGAAAGTGAAATAAATAAATAAAAACCAGCCAAACATGATTTGCTTGAAAGGTTGCCTTTCTCCCAAAAGAGATGGGGAGCACATTATGTGAGCTACATGTTATAGTAAAAGAAGAGGAGGGAGACTGGAAGTTCAATCAATCAGTCAGGTGCCGTCTCCACAATAAAGGCTGGCTGCAATGGATCTCCAACACGCTTTTTCTCGTCTTGTTCTACTCTCTCTTAGACTGCTGTTCATCCATCTCTTTACATTATCTTTCACTTGTAACGCTGTCTACCTCTGTTCCTCGATCTTTCCCTCTAGTATGGTTTTTAAAAGCGTACTTCCATTGGAAGGTAAAGGGCAAAAAAAGAAAAAAAATAGTTTTCAAATTCTATATTTACTTTTGTTTTAAAGACTGATCTTACCAGAATTTAAGGCATCCAGTTTAATAGGTATGCCAGCTTGGGCTAAAGCAACTAGTTTCAGAGCAATATAAAACTGGCTCCGCCCAAAGTGGCCCAGACGTTTGGCTCCACATAATTCTGTTATCTGGGAATAATCAGACACGAGAAATGAAGAACAACTTTTATACTTTTTTTTTTTACAGTTTTTAAAATAAATATTTGTATTGCAAACGTTTTAGTCATAATCACATATCAATCAAAATATTCATATATATTAATAAAATTACTAACTGTCCTTAAATGTATAACAGTTGTATTAGAGCCCAAGACAGTAGCCAGAAGTCTAGATAAGTAGGTAGTTTGTCCTCTCCAGAGCAGTTATAATGGGATTATATATGAGGGGGAGTCTATAAGTAAAACAAATGGTTGGTAAAAAAACACTAAAGGTGATAACTTGAAAACCGATTTTTTTTTACACATACACTGTCCGTTTATTTAACAACATAATTTCCACCAAAATTGATGCACGTGCCATTGTTTTATCAGTCCTCCCAAAACATGCCACACAGAACTGTGTGCTCTGAGTTGTAAACCACATTTTCACGGGGCTGTAAGGTGGATGTTCCAGAAGTTTCCACCCTTGATGGTTAATCTTCTTCTGTGGTCTGGCATTGTCATGAAACGGCAGTACTCCCTTAGTAAGTAGGCCTGGACGTTTTCTTCTAATTGTATCATGAAGCATCAATAGAACTTTACAGTATTTTTTTTTACCCAGCTGCACACCATTTTATGGGATAAACATTTGTCAGCATAAACAGAAAGCATTTCTATATGATGTCCTTCCCCCCCCCCCCTCCCCCCATACACAACAGCACACTTTGAGGGTACACTCCGTAAGTACAGTCGTCATTTTGTTTCTGTGTTGCGATTGCGCATGCAACATCCAGTGCCACCTAACGAACAGAGACATCAAGTTTGATGTTGCTGTCAACTAATGATACCTTTAGAAACAACCAACTACATTTTCCTGCCATCCCATAACCATTTGTGACTTACTTCTTGACTTCCCCTCGTAGTAGTAATCTGAAGTCTGAACCAGGCAGAAGTGTGAATATTAGTCCAGACATCTTCGTGTGGGTTCCAGGGCCCCATTGTGGGGGGAAAAAAGAATAGAACCACTGCCTCTTCAATAAGCATGTCATTGGAGTTGACTAACTGGGGACATCTTTCAAAGTCAAAGAGCAATTGTTTGAGAGGCAAGGAACCAAGAGTTTCCATACAAAAAAGCCACCTCTGTAAAAAGGATGTGCACATAACACTCAGGTTCTGGAACAATGTCTGAAGTCCAGAGTTGGACAAACAACCAGAACTTTCCACCAGTGTTTGCAGCTGGTGACCGCAAAGAAGAATAAGAGTCTGAACGAGTGAGTGATCGAAACCGTTCCCCTCCAGGATCGCTGTAATCTCTAGGACAGGGCTATTCAAGCAAGTTTTTTTAGGGGGCAAAATTTTGAACACTGGGATGATCACAGGCTAGAGGTTCGAGCTCCAGCATAGAAATAGCATTAATACAATTTCTTTTGGAATATTGTCTACAAAATAAACCAGCATATGTTTAATATAAATACAATATTAATTTTTTTTAAATATTTTTTTAATACTACTGCATTAGGTTTAGGTTTAAACAACGGATCAACATCACGGCACAAGGGTAGTAACCAATTAGTGCTTTGTTCTACTTCCAACTCAAGTCTTAAGTCCGGAGAATCTCAGCACAGTGCAGGAACTCCGTAGCACCAGTGAAAATCCTGAAATACTTTGGGTAGATTGTTAACTCCACATTTTGCTAGGGCAGCACTGTTAGGCTATTCTTTTCTATTTCTAAGTGCCAAGGGATTTGTTAAAAGTGTGCAACAATACACACAGGCGTCCGATCTTACTACCCAGAGACCAGGGGAAATTACTAGAAGCCCATGTGAAAAAATCCCAGCCTTCACCGAGGCTTGAACCCGGGACCTCCAGCACTCGAGGTGGATGCCATGCCTCAGGACCACCACTGCATTAGACAGCACTGCCATCCACAAACTGTACTTGCACTGATGCTGACGACATAAAATTATCGATTATATGTAATGATAATCCCATAGCTGATACTGCCCTTGGTGTGTGAAGTATTAGGCCGTGGCACATCTGAGGCAATCAACATATGAGGCTGAGAGGCTGGTTCCCTTTCTGATCGCCATTTCTTCCCATATAATTCTGGAAACTATCCTGTACCTAATTTGATTAGACTGGGGTGGACACCAAAGATGTACTGGCCAGAAAACAATATTGATTCTTCCTGAACTGCACAAGTTGCAAAAGAGATTCCTGCCATGGCAGGGGATTGAATAAAGAGCACTGTCTTTGCAGGTGAGCTCTGTCTTGATGACTGAGGCACTGTTTTGGTAGGTTAACACTGTCTGGATATGTGAGCATTGTCTTTGGCAGGTGAAAACTGTCTTGATATCTTCTTCTTTTTCATGTTCATCGGCTGTGAACTCTGGTGGAAAGTTCTGGTTGTCCGTCCACTTATGGTTTCTGGTCTTGTTCCAGAACTTGAGTTTTGAGTGCAAATCCATTTTACAGATTTGACTTATTTGTGTGAAGACAACTGGTTACTTGCCTCGCAGGCAGATGCACTCCAACTCTGGAGGAAACACCTCTAATTAGATTACTTTATGGCATGCTTGGGGGGGGGGGGTATATTTCATATTATTTCAAATATTTTTTCAAAATTAATTTGCCATTCAGCGCATAATAATTATTACTATTTTTACTGCTTCTTCACACTGCAACTGACGCATCATTTTGTCACAACACACCTTCACACTCCAGCGAAGACATCATTGTGTCACAACACACCACACTCCAGCCGACACATTACTATGACACAACAGCCAACACACTGTTGTGTCACAAACACACTTTCACACTGCATTGTGACATGCAGTTGTAAAAGCTCTGGTCTATCTCAAGTTGATGTTGAGGCAACAAGCAACAGGATCTGTTTGCATCAGGAGCAACAGTAGTTGAAACATTCATGACAGGCATTGGAGATGTTTTGAAGACTACCTTTCTTTGCCACACGTATGAACTTGATTTTCTTACACCAATGAACTTGATTTTCTTAAGCCAATGAACTTGGTTTTCTTAAGCCAATGAACTTGGTTTTCTTACACAAATGAAGTTGGTTTTCTTACACCAATGATTCTGGTTGATTACACCAATGAACATGGTTTTCTTACACCAATGATCTTGGTTTTCTTACACCAATGAACTTGGTTTTCTTAAGCCAATTAACTTTTGTTTTCTTACACCAATGATCCTGGTTGATTACACCAAAGAACTTGGTTTTCTCACACTAATAATCTTTGTTTTCTTACACCAATGATTCTAGTTGATTACACCAATGATCTTGGCTTTCTTACACCAATGATCTTGGTTTTCTTACACCAATGAACTTGCTTTTCTTACACCAATGAACTTGGTTTTCTTACACCAATGAACTTGGTTTTCTTACACCAATGATCTTGGTTTTCTTACACCAATGATCTTGGTTTTCTTACACCAATGAACTTGCTTTTCTTACACCAATGAACTTGGTTTTCTTACACCAATGAACTTGGTTTTCTTACACCAGTGATCTTGGTTTTCTTACACCAATGATCTTGGTTTTCTTACACCAATGAATTTGGTTTTCTTACACCAATGATCTTGGTTTTCTTACACCAATGAACTTGGTTTTCTTACACCAATGAACTTGGTTTTCTTACACCAATGATTTATGATCCTGGTTGATTACACCAATGAATTTGGTTTTCTCACACCAATGAACTTGGTTTTCTTACACTAATCAACTTGGTTTTCTCAAACTAATGAACTTGGTTTTCTCACACCAATGAACTTGGTTTTCTCACACCAATGAACTTGGTTTTCTTAAATTAATGAACTTGTTTTTCTCGCCCAAATGAACTTGCTTTTCTTACACCAAGCTTTATGAATTATTGCTAGGCAATGAAAAATAAATTAAATGAGATAAATTCAAGACAGGCATAGAAAAAAAAGACAAATGTCAAGACTGCTGGTAAACAGTTATAAGAAAGAAAAAAAAAAGAAGATTGTCATATATTAGGCTTATTCAAAGAGGAAGAAAAGAATCACAGAATAGACACTTATCTTATATGGGACAAGGATGCCAATAAAAGTAAAATAAAACCTACCACGGACCACGAATGCTGGTGACGAGAGAGGCCAAGGCGTCGGAATTTATTCATGATGACACTATAGATTATGAATGAAACATTGAACACAGGATAGAATGAGAATGGAATGGAAGAACAATCTGCGAGCCTTTACTTTATTCTACTGTTATGTCTGTATGTCAAATATAATTTAGTGGCATTGGCAACAGGGTGTTGGCGTTTTTATGGCTTTTCTTTTGTCTAAAATAAAAATGTGCAACAAGTACACTGAACTGTTCAACAGTAGTAGTGAACTGAAGTGAATGTTGAATGTTATTTTATGAAAATGTCAGTCATCAGTCAGCAAAGATTTGATGTCCCATGGCGAAAACAACACACCCACAAATCGAACTGGCATGCAGAAAACGGTTACTGTAAACACTGCTTTAACAACAAACAAACAAAAAACCTGGAGAAAAGCAATATGCACCTGTATCAGCACATCAGGACTCAAACCTGAAGTTAAAAACAATTCGGATGCTTTCGGTCCCGTAACTTTACCACTTCCTTCAGAATCACATGCCTGGAACAGCTCGGCATAATACTGCTGTTCCTTGGCACCGAGCTTTAATCCCTCCATTGATGTTATCAGTTGAGCTCTTCACGCCGATAAGAAGTAACAACTTACAGAAATGTGAGCAATTATTAACAAATATAGTTGTCCATTATTGTCACCAGCGATAAACGTCCACAATTTATGCCGAGGGTGTAATATGCTTCACTCAATTCTCGCCATGTTTTTTTTTTCTTCTCTATTTTAATACTAGGAGCTGTCTTCCCGTCCGATGCTTCAGTTTCGTATAAATCCCATACAATTATTTTGGGGTCCGCTTTTGGCTTCTTAGGCAATTAGAATTGTCACTTCCCATAGGGTTCCAGTACCCCGTTTGAGAAGAGGGAATGCTAGGACGAACTGTTCCTCAACAAGTATATAGTAAGAAGTGAATAAATAAGGATTTGCTGAAATCAGATGTTTTGGGTCTAAAGAAGCAGACGTGGTTAGTGCCTTGTGAGAGAGCGTGTACAGTTCGGAGGAGCAGATTGATCACCACAGTCTGGTGAGATTGATAATGGGGGAGTGAAGAGAAGTTCTGGCAGATGCTCGAGGCTCAGAATGCTACTGGCACCATTAGTACCAACTCTTCGTTGGCTGTTGAAGATGGGGGACGGAGCGCTGATGGGAAAGCCGCGAGTGCTGTGATGTCGGTTCTTTAAAAAAAAAATGTGCACATACTCATCGCTTCTTCTTTTTTCTTCTGCTTGTTTTCGCTTTCTGATTTACACCGATAGACAAGTGCTTGTGATATAGATAAAGACTGTTTTTATGAGTTCCCTTTTAGTTCCATACAGCTTTGAGTGTAGTAAAGGTAAAAGGCAAAGTCGAGAGATGTGAACCAGCGTCATTGCACACGGTTATAAACCATAAGTGCTCTGCCACCGGTACGGACAGCAGATAAGAAACTGTCCGCCTGTGTCGCCGTCCGCACGCAACTCTGTAGCTACAGCGACGTTCCTTCATTACCACAGACTGTCAACTCTGGTACCCATTTCCTAGAGGCTGGGTGAACCCCGGGAGCCGCCCGGTTTCGAACACCGACCGTGGGTGCAGCGAGTCGCAGCTGGATTTGAAAGCGGGCCTCTTATCAACTGCGGCCCCCTGAGTGTAGTGTTGACTCTGTGGGCCAGTATTCCCTTCAGTGGACTGTAGAGGGGAAATTCGTGTAGCAAATGTTCTGTAGCCTGTACACACAGCCAAGGCCGTTTGCATGCCCAGAAGGAGACGGTCTTGGCACAGCCGATACCGGGCACAGTGGCGAATTACTTAAACGGAACCTGTAAATATGCTTGCTAAGTGTGTTATGACCTGTCCTGAGGCGTAGAATAATGGCCTGTTCATGCCGGTCAAGGAAGTGATAATCGTCTGTCGTCTGTTTCTATTCACTTATGATAGACTGGATGGCCCTTTTCTTCTTTAAGTGTGTTACTGCATTCTCTTACTGTTCACATTCTGCCCCCCTTTTTTAAGCAAGTGTATCCGCTGTTTCGTTTCCTGGTATGCCACAGTGAGATTGCACCCACTGGAGTACATAGCGCTTTTGAGCATTCGCCTTGCCAAGTTCAGATCTTAGGTGAGGGTTTACCACTCTTCTGGGCTTGCAGCACATCTGTGAAGATAACCACTTGGTAGTAGTCAGAACTGGTGTTATATAATATGACGTTATATTAAAAACAGGTGCCGGTACTCACCACACAGTGTCTCTTGCAGCAGTTATGGGAACAATTATACATAATTGTTTCAAACACATATACACACAAAACAAGTGAAGTCAAAGATACTTATGCCAGTGACACATCGGGATAGGATGCTAGACTCGGTGGATAATGTGTTCAACATCCAACCAGCCGACTTTACTTCCCAGGAATTACCTAGCCCCCACTTTAGGCTGGGTCGACGTGGTGGCCAAGGTCAGTTTTGAGAAATATTCGATGGCGCGGATTCCAGCGCCCATGACCTTCAGGTCTAGAGGCTAGCATCTAGAATAGGCGCCTGAATATAAGAGCTCATATTCCTTGCCCCCCCCCCCCTTTTCATTAGATTGTTTAGAAATAGGAAAGGGACTTAGGTTAGATCTCACCCCCCCCCCCCCCAAAAAAAAAAAAAAACTTCCTTCGATTGGAAATGGGGAAGAGCTTAGATCTCATCCCCCTTCCCCCTCCCAACCCTTTGTTAGATTCTTTGGATATGGTGAAAGTTAAGACCTAACTCCTCCCTTCATTCCCCCATATAAAATGAATTAACAACCATTAGTAAGGTAAGTGTTGATTGTTGTTGGCTTTTGTTTTGTTGAATATACTAATATATATCCTCATTAAAAGTATTTGTTCATTACATTTCATGTAATTTCAAGTACAGCGTTATATGTATTATATGTATTTGCTATTCAGCACAGTGATAATCATCATCATTATTGCAAAGGAATTTCTTAATGTGCGCAACAATACACACAGGCATCCGATCTTACTACCGGGGGAAATTATTAGAAGTCCACGTGAAAAAATCCTAGCTTTCACCGGGGCCTGAACCTGGGATCTCCAGCACTCGAGGGGGACGCATGCTTAATGACTACCTAGGCCCCCACCCCCCCTCTCGACGGAGGATGGCCCACGAGGAAAATCGTCAGGAAGAAAAGAATAAGAGGAACACATTGCGGCACAGACAGGAAGGGAGCGGTCTAGCTACTCGAATAGGAACATATAGCCAGCCAGCTGGCACACATACCACAATCTTAGCCATGCAAGAGGAAGAAACAAACCAGACCACAAATATAACCGGAGACTGTTGGCAGCTTCACTGTCAACAGCAGATTGAATGTGGTCGAGTTTTGGACTTTTTTTTTCTAGAATGGAATGTAACAATTGCAACTTCAATTCTGGGTACGATTCCAATATGACTGCGGATTGAATAACGTCTAGATATCACCTGAGCTAATGACTGGGTCCCTATCAAAAATATAATAAGGTTAGTCAACAACTTAAAAAAAATTCTTAACCTTTCAAGATGCGTATGTAGCCTATATATCCGTCAACGTCTGTGGCTTGGGCGTTGCGAACGAGCTTCGTAATTCCAAGGTGTCGGATTCGATCCCAGCTGCGGGCCTTGCGCTGGTTTCGACAGTGGAATCGAGAAAGTCGACCGTCCAGAAAGCAATAGCAAATGACTTGGCATTAAATTTGCCTAGAAAAACTACAACAGCATAAAAAATGCTTGGGTTGGTTCTGCAACGTCCTGTAAAGGATACGCAACGAACTTTAATGTATATACATCAAATAAAGAACCCTTTTCCACGCCTTTAAGGGTATTGGGAACATAGGGCTAGACCTATATTTGTATAGGCCAATTGGCACTTGGTGTGTGATGTGGTCAGCATCATGCCGGCCGCCTTTACTTTCCAGGACTACATCTTGTACCCACTAAAGGCTATGTCGACCTGGGAGTCAAGGTCATATTTGTTAAAAAAAAAATATGCTTCGTCAGAATGTGAACCGGCGACCTTCCGATCCGCAGGCCGGCGTCTAGCCACCAACGCCACTTCCATATCCATTAGATACTTCTCTAAAAAAAAAAAAATTCCCGGCAATCATTTTGATGACACTGTATGTATGAGTTTATGTTCCTGTGGCGTGCCGCAAGAGCGTAGCGGCTAGACGCTCATCTGCCCGCCCGCAAGTACACAAATCTGCATCCAGGCGGATGTTTTCGAAAACTGACCTTTGCGTCCTGGTCGTCCTAGCCTACAATAGGTAATGTCCTGGGAAATAAAGGCAGCAAGCATGTTAATGACCATATCATCAATCAAGTGCTGATTGGTCTATATAAATGCAAGCCTAGAACTATTGCCTGATGCGCTAAAGCCGTAAAAAGGATATTTTACTTAAATTGTTTGTGCTCGCTTGTGCTTTAAACAGTCGTGTCCATTTCCCGTGCGGGTTCCAGGGCTCAATTGTGGGGGAAAACAAGGATAGACCCACTGCCTCCCCAACAAAATGCCATAGGAGTCAACTAATTGGGGGTTTCCTTTGATGTTGGAGTGCATCTGCCTGTGAGGCAAGGAACCAACAGACTGCATAAAAAAAGCCATACCTGAAAAATGGATGTGCATGCAACATTCAGGTTCTGGAACAAGTCTTGAGTCCAGAGGTGGATGAAAAACCAGAATTTTCCGCCGGAGTTTACAGCCGATGAACGCAAAAGATGTGTCCATTCATGGTTGGACACAGAAGCAGTTATAAAAGATAGTGGAAGACTTGGAGGTTTGATGTAGTTTTATAAAATATATAATGAATTTGCAACACATTCTTCTTCCACGCTTCACCTGAAAAGAACGGTTTCAGCAGAGTCTTAACTAGTCGCCTTTTACAACTTAGCGTGGCACCCAAAAATGCTGAGCATGTGCTCCAACACTGTCAACTGTATGCTGACAACAGAGACACAATCTGGCCTGTTCCAACCACAATGAAGACAAACCTGTATGGTAAACGAGAAGATATGGACCGCACGATAGCTTTCATAAAGGTAACCGGCCTCATGATATAAGTTTTCTGACAGAAGGATCGAAAGAAGAACAACAACAACATACTTGTTAATAAGAGGCAATGTAAACTGACAGAGAGATACCATGGACATAAAAGCAGCGACAGAGTGTAAACTGACACAAGATACCATGGGTAGAAGAGCAGCTGGGCGGGGGGGGGGGGGGGGGTATAAACTGATATGGGCAGAAAAGTAACTGAGGTAGTGCAAACTGACTTTTGAGATAGCACTGGCAGAAAAGTAGCCGAGGTAGTGTAAACTGGCTTTTGAGATAGCACTGGCAGAAAAGCAGCTGAAGAAGTGTAAACTGGCCTTTGAAATAGCATGGGCAGAAAATAGCTGAGGTAGTGTAAACTGGCTTTTGAGATACCATGCAACTGATGGAGGTGTGAACTGATTTGAGATACCATGGTTAAAAAAGCAACTGATGGAGGTGTGAACTGATTTGAGATAGTATGGTTAAAAAAGCAACTGATGGAAGTGTGAACTGATTTGAGATACCATGGTTAAAAAAGCAGCCGATGGAGGTGTGAACTGATTTGAGATAGTATGGGTAAAGAAAAAAAACTGATGGAGGTGTGAACTGATTTGAGATAGTATGGGTAAAAAAGCAGCTGATGGAGGTGTGAACTGATTTGAGATAGTATGGGTAAAGAAAAGCAGCTGATGGAGGTGTGAACTGATTTGAGATAGTATGGGTAAAGAAAAGCAGCTGATGGAGGTGTGAACTGATTTGAGATAGTATGGGTAAAAAAAACAACTGATGGAGATGTGAACTGATTTGAGATAGTATGGGTAAAGAAAAACAACTGATGGAGGTGTGAACTGATTTGAGATTGTATGGGTACAAAAACAGCAGAGGAAGTGTAAATTGACATGGGCTAAGAAAAGCAGCTGATGGAGGTGTGAACTGACAACAAGATAGCATGGGCAGAAAAGTGACAGATCAGCAGCAATGGAGATCACCAGTAAATTGTGTATGTAAACAATAACATGCACAGGATATAGAGAAAGCCAACATGGGACTAGTGAGAGATAAAGGGCTATGAAAGCACAAAGGGCTGGAGAATCATCTAGAGAAAGATAGACTTTCAGGTGTGATATAAAGAAATGATGTTCTGTAATAGAAATGCTGACTGACTGTTAACACCAACAACAAATAAACAAATGTGGTAGGAAAACAATCAACTTTAATGTACAAATATTCTCCTCACATGCTGTCTGTTATTAACTTAGCTATATAGGTTAATTAACAGACACAAGATTGGTATTTCACAGAAAGACAAGAACTTCACCATAATGAAAATGTACTTCCCTCCCAATGGAACATAGGTCCTCAACCAACTAATGCCAATATTATATCCTTGGCCACGGCGCATAGCTTGCCCCATGTCCTATCTTTTCACCTCATTCTTTAATTAACTTCATGTGTTTTTGGTGCCTTATTCTCTGACCCTGTGTATTTCATTGCAAGGACATTCTAGTTTTAAGTTATAAGGTAAATGGGTTTCTGCCCTGTGCAATGGCAGCAGCACTGTCCTCACCTCTTGATTCAATTGGTCAGTTATCTCACTAAGCCACACATGTATGACTTTATCATACCAGAAAATCCTGCGTGCAAGCAGCAGTTAATAAATGTTTGCAACTTAGAAGTCATTATGTTTGTCACTGAAGTGACATCAGAGCTAAGTATTTTACATTTAGTACTGCTTTTCATCTCTCTAACTTCCGCAGACTGGAAAAAAACAAAAAAAAACAAAAAATTAAATACTTCCAGTATCTTATCAGGTGCAAACTAAAACTAAAGAAAAGGAGCTACTTCACTTCCAGGGACTTTACCTGATACCTACTCAAAAAGTCAAGCTCTGTTTCGGAGTCAAATCCATGACCTTTGGATCTGCAGGTAGCATCTAGCCTCTACATCATGGCGACTAAGGTGCACACTACAGTAAGCAAATTACTAATTTAAGGCAGACAAAGGAATACTTTCCACTGCAATACAAGATCCACCCCATTCAAATGTAGCTGCCTGCTTCAGCTAACATCACTGCTACCTGACCAGGATATAAATTGTGCAGTCTGTCTTCTTTGTTCAAATTTACAACAGGAATATACTGCTTTCCCTAGTGCTGGACTATACAAATAAATTTAATGAGTGGCCCACATTTTTCATACGGGGATCATCATAGGACCAGAGCCCCTAGCACAGAATGATCATAAATAGAAATGGCAGTGATATGTGGGTCACTTTATGGGCCGCCAGTTGAACAGTCCTGCTCTAGTGAATAACATGTACTCCCTCTGGTCGACAGGTTGCAGCCTGGTGATGACAATCAAATACTCAACATCTGTCAAGAAAACATTCCCACCAAGGCCTAACTATAGCAAGCCCGCACTCTAATGAATCACGACCCAAAAAGCACCGAAATGGGAAACAAAAAGACAGACTGATTATGTCCAAGAGAAACCTTCAATGAACGTTCTTGTGAGAGTTCAGGGGGTGCTGATTCCACCCATGATATCAAAAGGACTGCACAGGACACAACAGAATGGAGGACTAGACCGTGAGCCCCATATGACATAAACGGCACAACCGGCAAAACATGTTGATTAAAACAAAAATGTTATGTCTTTAAATGTGGCCAACATATTCTACTTTATTTCTTTCAGCCATGTGGTGGCACAGAGCCAATTTGTCCCCACTGGCACAACTCATAGTACAAATACATTTATTGTTAAAAACAAATAAAAATAAAAACATTAGCTCTCAAGAGAAACACTTGACCAAAAAGTAACTGTACATGTGCTTGTTTATGCAACATGGGATGAACAACATGAGAGAAACAATAAAATAATCATGATGGGAACATAATAAAAGCAACAATGATGATGATAAAAATTACAAGAAGTTCTCTTCTTCTCACAGTATTATGAAATCAGACATTAAATAGAAAGCACTAGCAATTCAAATAACCAGTAACGAGACATGGTTAATATTGCTCACAGATCACCATACAGTCATCAACAATTGAAACCCTTTATACATCCAAGCAGGTTACTTGGAGTATTTATGGATCCAGTGGCAACGTTAGGTCCAGTAAAAACTGTATCCCAGGTTATGAGGTAGCTGCCTCCAGTTCTCCCACTGACTGTTCTGGTTCTTCATCATTGTAGATATTTTCAGCCTTTGGGAGTCAAAAACACAAGTTACCCACAGGCAATAAAGTTGTAAATAATATCCATTTAAAAAGGCTTGGAAAATGAAGATAATATATAGTTCATGTGACTAAATACAACAATGAACTGTTTATTCTTCTTCTTCATTCACTGGCTGTAAACTCCTGTGGAAATTTCTGGTTGTTCATCCACTTCTGGACGGGTCTTCTGCCAGAACTTGAGTTTTGAGTGCACATCCATTTTACAGATCTAGATTTTTTTTGTTTTTGGTAGACGGTTGGTTCCTAATCTTATAGGCAGATGCACTACAACTTTGAGGGAAACACCCCACATTAGTTGCCTTCTACGACATGCTTGTCGGAAAGAAAGGGGGGGGGGGGGGAGAGGGAAGAGGCCCTGTTCATTCCCCCCACCCCCCAAAATGGAGCCCAGAACCCACATGTTCAGAAATGTTCACTGTGATTCAGCTTTTTTAGCCATTAAAGTTTAGTAATTCACCATGCTGATAATTGTGGGTGGACATGTTTTACTATCTTGCACAATCACTAGAATTATACACAAAGCCAGAGCTCTTGTATCACTGCTCTATATGACCTAACTATCCAGATATTTAAAAGTCTCTGGTAAGCTACAGCAAGGAGATCAAGGTCACAATTTGAGGGCATGCATCTTCTCTTTAGCAACACAGGGTGTGAGTCATGGCCTATCTAGCAGTCATTAAGGAAGAAAATAGGGTATCTGAACTGAAATACTTTAGAAAACTTCTTAGAATACCATGCACCAAGAAGAAAAGAAATACTGACATTCTAAAAGATCCAAACAACAAAGAAGATTGGCTGTAAACAGCATTTTATCCTGGAAACATATATTTTGGTCATATCAAGAGCCACAGCAAAGATGATTTCTTTTAGGCAGACTGATGAAAGCAACGTTCTGCAAAGTACTGTTTCCTAATGATGATGATCCAGGTATTTATTTCTTTACTTGCTATTTTCCTTCAACAGTCCTTGCCAGTCCAAGTGGCCAAGGAAGTTCTTCAGACTATTCCTTCTTGACAGAAAGAACAGACGGAGAGGGACAACAATGAGACAGTGAGACATAAAATGGATGCAGAAGGATTAAGGGAGATGGGGAGAGAAGAGGAAGATGATAAGTGTGAAAAAAAGAAGGGAGGTAGATGGATCATTCATGAGAAAGAGGAAATGGTCACAGAAGAGAATGGCAAATACTGGGACAAGAGGAAGAGAAATGGTGAGACAAGAGGAAGGAAATTGGGTGAGACAAGAGGAAGAAATTGGTTGAGTCAAGTGGATGAAAACTAGTGATACAAGAGGAAGGGAAACAGTGAGACAAAAGAAAGGGAAATGGCGAACGAACAAACAAACTTTATTTTCAGAGTCACAAATTGGGCAAGCAGGCCCACCTTACATTTGGCCCTTCTAATCACCCATCTTTCGCACAGCAGTTGTATTTTACTAATAAAGCCTGTTTTGATCATATGATATATACATATTATGAATATCATAAAATAACACAAAAGCATGGGTTGTAAAATTCATGCAAGAACCCGTGTGCATATACATGCACGCATACGGTGAGAGACAAGGAGAGAGATGGAGCGACAAGCAGGAAATAAACATATTATAGTTAATATAACATCAAGCAAACATAAGCTAAAACACTAAAGATAAACTTCAAACTGACCATCTGCCAGACTTGCATAATGTTGTCTTCTGACACGGAACAGATGACCCACGGTTCATTAGGGTTCCAGGAGAAGTCGGAAATCTTGGCTGTATGACCACCATGGATAAACTAGAGAACAAAATGAGAATAATTCAATCAATTACTTAACTCCTCCGGCGGCTGCTGTATTAATTCCTATCCTTTCTTTTCCAACTACTGACACCTGGAAAAATACACTGGTACCAAATACGACAAAGAACCGAGCTGAAGAAATAAAATGAACACAGAGCAAGGGAATGATCCAAAGATGCACCGGTGGCATCAAGAACAGCGTTAAATAAAAAAAGATCAACCCATACAATGTGTTGGACAGAGCAGAAGGAAAATCTTTAAATAATTATTCTCAAATACATAACACTCCTTACTCAATCAATTAATTTACAATAAAGTTTTGGCAGAATTAGATGTCTCAATCTGCATATCTTGGTTCTATACTCTCACATACAGCAGTTCTTCAATTTCTTGAAGGGATCCTCTGACTTGTATCTGTCTACCTGTCATTAATTAACTGCTTACCTGTTCTCTCTGGTATGATTCATATGTTGTTTTTTTAATGTTGCCAAAATATTTCACTCTTTTTTGTGTGTGTTTTTATTTATCGGCATTTCCAAGTGTAGGTACGCAGTTTTCTGATGCAGCTTCTCCTCTTATTAAAAATAGTGGCTGTGTTGTGGTTTACAGCTAGGCTGTGATATCTACATCTTTTGGCCTAACACATCAGATTTCAACAAACTGCTAATTAGTCATCCTTAACAACATGCTTGCTGAGGGTAGCGGGTCCATCTTTTCTTTCAAAAAATGAGGCCCTGGAGCTTAGACGGGAAGTCTGATGCAGCAATCATCGCAAAAATTGTGTTTACTTATTTTTGCCTTTCAATGCATTGCTATACCTTCTTCTTTGACATTCAGAGCCCTTGAGGTTCACAGCTGCAGATAACACCCGCTACCATTCATCTCTTTACATGGCCTTCTCTTTCCAGTTGGTGATACCAAGTGTTTGTGGGTCTGCCTGAATATTATCCCTCCATGTTCTTGGTCTGCCTCATGGTCTACAACCATTCTACTCCCTTATGAATATAGTTTTTTTTTATAACCTATCTGTTATCTGACATTTGCTCAATATGCCCCATCCATTTCAGTCTATTAACCCTCATGATGCCAGCGATCACTGGTGATTTAAACAAATTTTAAATTTTGTTGTTGTTTCTCACTTTCATGACCCTGATGGGCCCAAAGATGTGCCATAAGAGTGTCTAAAAATGTGTAATAAGGCTTCATCTTTTTAGTTCTGCTCAAAGTTTTAGAGCTACATAAAATGTCTGCTCTTATCAGCGTTTAGTGTTTTGAAACAGAGACTCTGATTTTAGCAGCTTCTGTAGGGCACTGTGTACTTTATTTCCAGACTGTATTTCTTCTCTCAGCATGTTGGAGCAGTTGGAATTTACACCCCTTCCCTCCAAGCAGACATATTTTTTTTTTAGTGAATGGGGGGGCCATGATATCAAAGTGGCTAGCATGCTTGCATGTCTGCTCAGTTGTCACAGGTTCTTAACCCTCAGCATTTTATTTAAAGTGAATCAATGACAAGCTATGAATGAGTGAATCAGATATAAGCTACAAACAACACTCACCAAAAGCTCTGGGGGCCCATCTTCTGCATCTTCTGGCAACTGCTCTTCTCCAATTTTACTGAAAAGAAACGAACAAGGACATTCTGCATTAAATGGGTAAACGCTGTAAGGGTTAACTCGATCAACAAATGCCAGAAGAAGCTGGATGCGTCTGGGGAAAAAAAGGGCATGGATATCGTAGTTTTGCTGTAAACTAGCACAATATATTTATGGCCTAATCACAACTATTGGATAAAGAAAGGGGATGCAGAGGCACTTATCTACATGTGGTATATTAACTCATGGCTGGTCAAGACCTATTCACACCTCATTGTGATCTTTATTTTTTAAAACGGTCAAGTTCCCTACTAGGGACTTAGCCAAATGCAGAAAGGATCGGTGTTTCTTTCAAAGTCTGAGTACATGTGAGGTGATGAACCAACAACTATGACCTACTGCTGGAGTTTACATCGGGTAAATGCCAAGAAAAAGAAGAAAGAACCAAAAAAGAAGAAACGTTATTTCTAGATAAATCTACAGTCAGCATGTCAGTGCCCTAATGAAAACACAGGTTGCCATTTAATGATAGCACAATTGCCTGATGACCTGGTATCTTCTCTTAAAATGTCCTTCCGGGCCAAATTTTTACACTGATTAAGGCTCCCATGTTGACCCAGCGTAACATGGGTGCCAGGAGGTTTATGGAAAGTGAGGGTCAGGCGCGTAATACTAACAACATCATCCTCTAAGTGCCAAATGGGGGCTACAACCAAATACCTATAGATTCAAGTTGGCCCTTAACTTTATCTTCATACTAGAGGCAGTGACAGAACATACACATCTGCTGAGATTTAGTTAGTGAAATGCTTATAAATTAGATGCTTTATTGAAATGGCTATTTTATAGTGCAAACGTTTAAAGAACACCAACATGAAACATCTTTTTATGAAATAATCATTTCCTAGACTGAGATTGGTGTTTTGTTATTCCACAAAAGCATCACTGGTATTGAAACTCTGCATTGGTTGCTAAAGATGGAAACATATGAAAATACGTATAGAGCTGAGGTGTCCATTTTCAATATAACTAAATTATTCAACATATCCATTTGAAGTCAGAGTGCATTTGCCTAAGAGACAAGGAACCAACAGACGGCATACAAAAAAGGCATGTGTAAAATGCATTCGCACGCAACATATAAGTCCTGAAACAAGACTAAAGCCCAGAGGTGGACGAACAACTAAAACTGTCTGTGGGAGTTTACAGAACATGCAGAAGAAAACATGACACACCTCCCCCCCTTACCTTACCTCAAGTCCCAAACATGAAGTCTCCTGTCTGTCCCACTGGATGCTAGGATAGTTTCATTGTGAGGTGACCACTGAACCTGCAACAATGTAACAACTCTTAATATAGCACAAACTGGGGGGGATCCGTGGCAAAGTGGTCAAGACGTTTGCCTCGCGCTCTGGAGGCCGTGGGTTAGTTTCATGGCTGCGCCCTTCAGTTCACGAGTGCAAAATGTATGGAGATCCTTGGAGATAGTCGCCATCACCAGAGACACCCCACCCCAGTGGTGTGTATGCGATACATCCTTAGTTTGCCGACGATTGCAGGTAGGCACAAGGTGCTGCAGGCGAAGTCATATCTCAGGGTAGCTGCAGACAGAGACCACCCTTTGCATGAAGCTCTGGGTGCAGTTAAGGGTCAGCGGCTGATAAGAGGGAGGTCATGGATGGCTCAGGCAGAAGACTCAGAAAGGTTTGCATCCTTGAGAACATTAGGTGAGGAGAGGAGTGGGTAAAAGTGCCACATGAACAGTTAGACTTGTGTAGAGTCATAATCACGCTGAGCCGGGAATGCAGAGACTGGCCAGCAGGTGCAACGGAGGTGAAAATTCAGCAATTAATTCAAGATAATGCTCGCTCAGAGGATTTGATCATATACACAGACGGGTTCAGTGTAAAGAGGCAAAAGGGTGTGCTTGGAGCTTCTTAGCAAAAGTTAATGGTCGACGTTAGGTGTAGGAGAGCCTAGCATATGATATCACAACATTCAGCTTAAGAATGGAGGTGGAGGGGGTCACTGAAGTTTCAGCTGGCTAGAGAACACGACACATGCACACATCGTGAATGTAACTGACTCAGAAAGCATGCTGAGGAAGATCAGAACAGGTATGCTTCGTGCAGAGTGGCATGCTTCGTTGCAGAGGAGTATCGTCTGGATTTTTTTACCGGGGACGCCGGTGTGTTGGAAAATGAACAGGCGGACAGACTGGCTGGCTCTGCACAACTTGGTGGAATACTGATACATGATAAAGCAGACGTGGTTAGTGCCTTGTGGGAGAGCGTGTACAGTTCGGAGGAGCAGACGGCTCACCACAGTCTGGTGAGATTGATGCAGGGGAGAGTGACGAGAGGTTCTGGCAGATGCTCAAGGCTCAGAGGAAAGGCAAGACGGAGGTTTAATCAGAATGCTACTGGCACCATTAGTATCGGAACTCTTTCCTGGTTGATGAAGATTGGGATGAAGCGCTTATGGGAATGCCCCGAGTGGTGTGATGTCGGTTCTTGAATCAAATCAAATCAAATCAACTATGGAATTCATGTTCTGTGCTGTGCTGTCGGCAGGCGTCTAGCTGTTCTGCTGAGAAAGACTGAGCCACATGGGATAAAACCTGGTGCAATGAAGTTGATCGTCTCGACTTTAACCTTTATAGCAAAAAAATAAGCAATTATTTTGCTGCGTCTTTTGCAATTTCCTTCATAAAATAGCATAGGCATTCACATGCATAGCATCTACATGGGCAAGTTCTGTGTCCCTCATCTTGAACTTCCTGTAGATACGCAGAGTCTGATGTAAGTTTGAATATTTAGATATAATGGTCTTCTGTAACATTCACTGATTAAGAATCAGCATCCTCTCATACCAAGCATAATCCCTCATCAAATATCTTATGGTGTAGATCCTGACTGTCCCGGTAGCACACTGGTAGTACAATAACATTCTGTTCCTATTATACATCATTTTTTTGGGGGTTGGAATCACACTTAATTCAGAATTCATGAAATGAAACCTTATCCATGTTGTTTTGTCTAACGTATTATCCATCAGCATTTTTTCATAAGCAGTCCTAAGAAAGTCTGTCTGATGAGTGTTCCTACAGGTGTTGCTGTTGTAGTCAAAAACATCTACTAGGAATCCACCAATGAAAGCTGTTAATTCTGAACGAAAATTCCACAAAACTTTCACAATACCAACGGAAAATCAGATACTATGATTCCTATGACAAGTCCATTTTTAGCTACTAATGTAAGAGCTGCAGTGATTGCCCCACCTCCATCCTCGTGCTTAAGCTGTAGATAAATAAGCTTCCCTTTGTTCTGCCACAACCTTTCTCTTCCCCCTAGCTAGCTGAGAAACCGCACCCAGATTTTACACCTGACATAAAGAACCACCAGTCTTAGAATCAACACACCGGTATAAAGATCACACAGAAATAAACTGAACAACATTCGTACCTGAAAAATCTCATCTTTGTGTGACTCAAATGAATGCAGTTTCAACTTCAGGTTGCGCAGATCCCACAAGGCCACCGTCTGAAAAAAAATTCACACAAAAAACTACTTATTATCTATTACCAATCCCCTGAGCAGTTGGCCAAAGGGCTAGAATGGTGGGCTCTCATTCTTGGCAAGACAACGGACAACTTTTATGTCAGGGGGAAAAAACTATCCTTACCTGTACAGTTTGTGGTGTTTGAACTAGCCAAACAGTCCTGAGTCTTCAGATTTAGGACATTCACTGACCTACATCACAATAAATAGTGGTAAATACGGGTGGCAAAGACATTTCTTCTGAAAGACTATTCTAAAGCAATCTGTCACCAGAAAGAGACAATCTACACACTTAATTCACAATGTGAGAAGGCGAAAACTGGAGTGTGTTGTGACACTGGGAAAGCTGGTGAGGAAGAGCGGCAGAAGGAGACCAAGAGATAAAGTGCTGGATAGTTTGGCATCACAGCATGCAAGGACATCTGCATCAGAAATTATTGACAGCACATGTACAGAGGCTACGGACAACCATGATTAGTAAAGCCATACAGGCATGGATTATAAGAAGATCACAACCTAAGATCCCTTGCCACTATTTGGCTCAGCTGTAAACAACTACCACTTTATAAGGGAATCTTGCGGTATCTATAATGAACTGTGTGTGGCGCCATATAGCTGCCTCTCCGTCCAAACAAGGAAAGTCAACTGACACTTGTACCAGGTGTGTAAAGACCGACCAAGACAACAGAACCCCAACTCTTTGACAGGATGAAATTTTGCTTGACTCGAGATTCTTGACAGAACCTGTGCTTTTAGCGTCATTTACTACACACCAAACAGGCAATTAGTGAAAAGTGCCCGCATTTTTGCTATTACAGCAAGCAATATTTTTGCTGAATTTATCCAGATAAAACATGTTCACCTCAGACATTGAATTCTCATCTACGGCAAGGCAAAGTCTGACCCTATGGCAAGGCTAAACACAGACCCTATGACAAGGTTAAACTCAGACCCTATGGCAAGGCTAAACACAGACCCCATGACAAGGTTAAACTCAGACCCTATGGCAAGGCTAAACACAGACCCTATGACAAGGTTAAACTCAGACCCCATGGCAAAGCTAAACACAGACCCTATGACAAGGTTAAACTCAGGCCCTATGGCAAGGCTAAATACAGATCCTATGACAAGGATAAACTCAGATCCTATTGAAACGATAAACTCAAGCCATATGACAAGGCTAAACATAGACCTCATGGCAAGGACACACTCAGACCCCATGACAAGAACAAGCATAGACCTCATGGCAAGGCTAAACTCAAACCCTAAGGCAAGGCTAAACACAGACCCTATGACAAGGTTAAACTCAGACCTTATGGCAAGGCTAAACACAGACCCTATGACAAGGTTAAACTCAGACCCTATGGCAAGGGTAAACTCAGACCCTATGACAAGGTTAAACTCAGGCCCTATGGCAAGGCTAAATACAGATCCTATGACAAGGTTAAACTCAGACCCTATGGCAAGGCTAAACATACACACCATGACAAGGATAAACTCAGATCCTATGGAAACGATAAACTCAAGCCCTATGAAAAGGCTAAACATAGACCTCATGGCAAGGACACACTCAGAGCCCATGACAAGGATAAGCATAGACCTCATGGCAAGGCTAAACTCAAACCCTAAGGCAAGGCTAAACTCAGACCCTATGGCAAGGGTAAACTCAGATCCTATAGCCAGGATAAACTCAAACCCTATGGCAAGGATAAATTCAGACCCTATGGAAATGATAAACTCAAGCCCTATGACAAGGCTAAACATAGACCTCATGGCAAGGATACACTCAGACCCCATGGCAAGGATAAACTCAGACCTCATGGCAAGGCTAAATTCACACCCTATGGCAAGGATAAACTCAGACCCCATGGCAAGGATAAACAAAGACCCTTCGGCAAGGATAAACTCGGATCCTATGGCAAGGCACATTTGGAAAGCAGCAATTTATTAAAAACTTATTCACATAAACAAATACAAAAACATCTACTGTACACACTCTCAGACTGCTGTTCGCACATCTCTTGCTGTCCGCCCACTTGTATTAATATTCACCTTTTGACTAACTTCTCCTCAAGTATGGTTTTTTCGAGTGTTGTGCGTTTTAATGCAGTAACTTCTCATTTCTGATCTTTACAGAATCTTATTTGAATATTTCTGTTTTGAAATATGACGTATTTTTCTGTATATCCACATCTCCAGAGACTTAATTATATTTTCTAGTCCCAATAAAACAGTGCTCGCCACGGATCGGAAGGTCGTGGGTTCGCTCCCTGGCGGAGCCGGACTTTTCTTAAAAAATGACCTTGGCTCCCAGATCGACCCAGCTTTGAGTGGGTACCGGGTGCAGTCCTGGGAAGTAGAGGTGGCCGACGTGATGCTGACCACACCACCCACCTTGTGCCGTTGGCCTATAAAATATAGGTCTAGCCCTATATGCCTAAAGGTGTGGAACAGGGTTTTTACTTTTAAAAAAAAAGACAGTCTGATAGATACACAGATAGAAAGATCATAGACAGACAGAGAAACAAAAAGACAGAAAAACAAAAAGACAGATTCCCATAAACCCTCACCTTGTCTGCTGACCCTGTGGCCAGGATAAACTCACTGTAAGGATTGAAAGACAAACAGTTGACTTCTGCTGTATGAGCATCATCGACAGTGTGACTAGGCTTGTTAGTGTTGTTGGACCGGGTATCCCAGCTGCAAGGAGGCAAGCGAAGCATTAAGGACCAATTCACTGGTCATACGATGCTAGACATATTTTCTGCTTGTTTACTTATTATTTATACCAATTTCCCTTTCAATATTTCGCACCCTGTAAACACGTAATTTTTTTTAAAGACATGAGCCCAGGACCCCCCCCCCCCCTCCCCCCACAAAAAAACCCCCCATAAAGAATCAACAATTTTACAGAGGCAATAAATAAGGTCACATTAAAAAATTTTTTTTTTTTTAAATATCCAATAAACACGAACATTGAACCTAAAAAATTGTATTGGGTGACTCAAGTCGCGACTCCATGGCCTTTTCAGAATTTTAGAATAGGACAAATTAGTTTTTAAAAAGCAGTTTTTATCATGACCCCCTTTCCAACCTACCCAAGCTATTTTTAGTAAATATCTTCTTCTTTTGCGTTCATCCGAAGATGTAATTGTGTTGTGTCCGTTTACAGCATTGCTGCAATATTTGCACCTTTCGGCCAACACATCCGACTTCTGCGGGCATTTGTTGACCCGGTTAACCTTCCCGGTTTTTAGTAAATATAATTTTCAGGCCTCCTAAACACTGTCTAGGTGCAAACAGAACCCAACTAGGATTCTGAGGGACAGGCCCCTGAATCAATGCAGTTTATGCTGCATTTGTAGGATAATGACAAGGACATAAATACCATGCTGGCAACTTCTCTGGGTGACATGGCCAAAGTGGAAATTTTTCTGTGCTTTATTAATACCCTACCCCAAACAGAGAAAATCCACAGGTCACGGAACAGTCTAATATTTCAGGGGGTGGTAGATAGGCTGCATGCAGTCGTGGGAAGTAGGTGGGTTTGGGTTAGGACCAGTTCTAGATGTTTTGGGGTCATTAAAAGCATCAGAAAGCCGGGAAACCCAGTCTTACCACCCTATAAAATATTGGACTTCCTGTGACGTCATGTGGGGTAGGATATTAATATAGAACCAATTTTTCAAACACCCCCCCCCCCCCCAGGATGTTTTACAAACCAAACTGTTAGTGTTGCTGAACCAGGTATCCCAGATGCAAGAAAGCAAACAACACATTACCACTAGTAAGTAAAGTAAATGAGATGTCGCAGAAGAGCCACAGTAGTGACCAGATGAGAGAAATCAGAAATGTCATCAGAGAAAAAGCTGGCACAGAACCAATTTCTAAAATGCATAAAAATTCCTAATTTATCGCCTTTTATAACAGGACTGTCTTGCCAGGCGAGGAAAAGGGTTCCAGTGCAAAGACATTCTTGTTATATTATAATGAAGTTTTCTCAAAGAATGTTATAACCGCACATATCTTTTCCTCCCCGCCTGATTCAATGAAATTTGTTTAGACAACTAGCAAACTAGTCATCCTATTATGTCAAGGTCAATCACGTCACATCCTAACAGCAGTAACTCCCATAATATCTGCACTTTCACTTTAAAAAGAAAGTACATGAAACATTTTCAATACTTACATCATTAATTTCTGATCGTCTGCCACTGAACCAAACAGACTTTCATGAAGTAAATGCCAGGCAACATCCTGCAAGTAGAATACACAGGGCGTGTAACAGATTTTTAAACATGGTGGCTCCATTGTAAACAATCCTGGTGGGTAGAAAAATGGTGTTTAATGGCTGACAGGATCAACTATACTGAATTGTAAATGGCACAGTTTATCTGTTCTAAGACATCCTGCTATTTGTTCCAGGTAGTGCTTGTATTTGTTCGAGGGCTTGCTTGTATTTGTTCCAGTTTATGTTGGATGTGTTCATCAGTGTTCCAGAGTGTGTTCATATTTATTCTAGGATATGTTGCTCCAGGATGTTTTCCTATCTGTTCCGGGATGTGTTCGTATCTGTTCCAGGATGTGATTGTATCTATTTCAGGATATGTTCGTATCTGTTCCAGGATGTGTTCTATTTGCTCCAGGACGTGCTCATATTTGTTCTAGGGCCTACTTGTATTCACTCGTTGCAGGATGAGTTTCTTCAAAGATTTTTGAACTAGAGTATACCTGTAATTTGTCCAAGATGAGCTTGTTGCAGAATTTTTGTGAGTATCTGTATAGTGATTATTGATTAGAAAGGATTATCATCACAGCACTCCAACAGATCCTAGTACGGCAAGTGCAGCGCATAGCATTGACAACATCACTTCTGACTGAGGAGGTCAGGGCTTTGAGAAGCATAGGTACAAATGGGCATTCATGATGCTGACAGACTTTGAGTGTGAACATTTGATACCACTTGGTAAAAAAGAATCCAGATCTTCCATCTGCTACCAAGGAACTAACTGAAGTATCACTGAACAACATCCAGTAAACCAGTCTCCGATACCTCCCCATCACAACTCCACATTGGTCAACACACACAAAGTTCCCCAGCACCTTTTGTACACTTAAGGAAACCCCGTTAACCAGCCTGTCACACAGCCGCAACTGTGCACACCCCCAACACACCTGGGCTGCACAACAGTCTATTCCAGAAAAATAATTCACAGAATAATGAAGTCCAAATCATGATCCACCACAGTAATCTCGACAGTTTTTGAGTTCCAACAGCATAAAACCACATTGTTAAAACTGTCACATAATATAGTCCATTTGTTCACAGGACTTAAACAATCCGCGCTTACTTAGACAAACTGAAAGCTGACTTGCTCAAATACCAAGCATGCGGATCTCACATTCCCCACACAACTTGTGCTGCTTGCAGCCACTCTTGAAAATCAAGCAACTTTCACCAGCTGCAAGCGGCTCAAATGTTTACACTCACAACCAGTCAACACAACATGAATTCCTGTGTGTACCCATGCTTCACAAAGCCCTGGCTTCATTAACTATTTCATTAACTCTTTAAAACCTCACAGTGACTTTCGCACACAACAATAGGAATGAATGTTGATGGAAGACATGAGATAGATGAAATAACATGCGTAAGAATGCGTGAACAAAGAATTAGGAGTGTATCTGGCAAGGATTAGCATATGAAAGAAAGAGAACGACGGGTGTATAATTAGTGTGCAACAGGAACAGTTAGCATCTACACCTTATGACATTTGCTGTGGGCAAAGGAGCATCTATGGGTACGCCTGGTAGCTTATGATGTAGATTTTTTAAATCAGTAATCATAACATGCTCAAAGAACACGGTTTACGTCTAGTTTCCCTAATCAGTGTATATGGCTGTCAATTGTCTGGAGAATGACTGCTTTGTTTGTTTTTCTAAAATTCAACAATATTCTTTACATTCTGCTTCAAAGCCACATCACCAGTGCATGGTGTCTTTCAACACAACTGTCTACGTTACTTCTTCTTCTTCTTCGCGTTCACCAGCTGTACACTCTGGCGTAAAGTTCTGGTTGTTCGTCCACTTCTGGACTGCAGTCCTGCTCCAGAACCTGAGTTTTGCGTGTGCATCAGTTTTACAGATCTGATTCAATTGAATGATGACTGCTGGTTCCTTGCCTTTCAGGCAGATGCACTCCGACTTCAAAGGAAGCTCCCCAGGTAGTCGACTCTTACGACATGCTTTTGGGGAGGCAGTGGGTCTATTCTTGTTTTCCCCACAATAGGGCCCCGGAACCCACACGGGGGTCTACGTTACTGAAACATGAACAATTTAATATTTCACAGTATATCTAGACTTCAAAAATGACTTTAACTCCCAGGTCGACCTAGCCTTGAGTGGGTACCAGGTGCAGTCCTGGGAAGTAAAGGCGACCGTCATGATGCTGACAACATCACCCACCAAGTGCCGACTGGTCTATAAAAATATAGGTCTAACCATATATTCCCAATACACTAAAGGTGTGGAAAAGGGACCTTCAAATATTTTTACAGTATATCTAGGCAGCACTGTTCATTGCTTCTGAACATGCAAGAAATACTAGCTGGGCTGCTGCAGGACAAACAAACATTACGAAAGCAACAGATAACAGAAATATCTAACCTCTACTACAGAGGTGTGCCCTGTGAAGATAGTCATGGCATCAATGACTCGCTCCTGGCGCTGTGTGGCATTGACATCCCATAGGCATATCGTCTGGAGAAGACAATCAAATTCATCAGTCCACAGAAATTATAACAAAACAAATAACACTGCATAGTTAGAATAAAACTGATGATGCCAGCAGCAAGTGTACAACATGTACACAGGAAACATCAAGAGGTAGAGGAAGACCTAGAAGAAGATGGACTGAATGTGTCACCCACAGCCTGGGAGTTCACACCATAAGCATACCAAACAATCAAGTGCGCCCTAACTCAAACTGTGATGTCTAGCGATACAAAGTTCACAAACAGAAATAACAAAACATGAGAAATAATGCACCTCCACCATGCTGCAACACAGCAGAAAGGATAAGACTGTGTTTTTACATGATGACAGTCTCGAGAAGTAGTAAACGTTGTATGCGGGAGAAAGCGTAACAGATTTTGTATCACCAGAAACACTGTGTTTGTTGTTGCTTTGTTTTTTTTAATAGTCCAAGTGTGATTCTGAGTCATGACTTCTGGATGTCTTTCACCCATTGTGCGTTAAATCCTCACACCGACACTGAAACATAAGTTTCCTGCTTATGACTATCGCCCCTAGAGAGCATTGCTAAGCATACCCACCCAGAACCTTGCCTTTGGGAAATCAGATATTGTGTACTCGATGCCTTGCTGTAGATATTTACTGGTTCATACAATATAAACAGCAGGAAATTAATGTCACAGATGACTACAAACCACTCATATGGATGTGCAATTTATGGCAAGCTAGGATGTGGTGTATGCAACTACTTGCTTTTATGACATACTTGTTAGGAGTCAGTATTAACCCCCCCCCCCCCCCCCCCCCCCCCCCAAGGACACTGGAACCCACAGAGGAAGGCAATGCCTGAGATTTGAGTGTGAAGCGAGTGCCTCAGAGGATCATAACCTTCCAACCAAACTACAAGTGCCTCTAATACTCACATGATCATCTGATGCACTGAGAAGGTGTCCATGTAAATTTGGATTCCAAGACAGACCATATCTGAAGTAAATAGAAATAGAACATGATCATAATACTATTGTTACAACAGCACATGTTTACCATTCTTTGGTGGTAGTTGGTGGGGAGGGGAAATGTGAACATGAGGATTAAGTGTCAACTGTGCAAGTTAGGATGTTTTTTTTTTTTGCCCCCCCCCCCCAAAAAAAAACCTTATCACCTTTAAAAGGATTTAAACCAGAGTCTCCTGCATGAGTGTCCAGCATACTAGCCAGTCCACCTCAAAATAACTGTTGTTAGAATGATCTACATTAAATGCTGGACTAGCTGCTAAACTTACAGTTTAACACACAACAATTAAAGGCGAAGACAAGGGCTCTTTTTACACCAGTGTCGCATCGGGAATATGGGACTAGAATAATATTTTAATCCACACTAGTCGGGTGAAGTGGTCAATCACCGTGGCATTTGGGAGCAATAGCCAAGTGGCCAGCATGTCTGACTGATGGTCTTGGGTTCCACTCTGCATTTTATGGACCTGTGGGCACTTGACAGGTGATGTGATCTTTAGTATATGCCCTTTTTTTTTTCAAACTAAAAAAAAAAAAGAAGAAGAAAATATAGAGAAATGTCAATGTTTTAAGCTCAGCTTTTTTTTTTTAAACTGACAAACCTGGCTTTTGTACTAAAAGCTTTTATAAGCAGATGGTCAACAGGCTTTGCCACAGTGTGATATGGACTTCCGAGCTCAATAATGCTGGCCCGCTATAACTGGTACTTATGGGATAATTCAACCTGGCAGCAGACGTCACCAAATATATCGCTGCCCTGAATGGAATCTGAATTTTAATCCCTGTGTCAGTGACGTCTTTGCAATTTTCAACTGTGGAGTTAATTTTTTAAAATGTCAATTCTTCTTCTGCACTCACCTTAAAAGGGCAGCTGGCATGTAATTTACAGCTAGGTTGTGATAATTTCAGCCAAACACATTTGATCTCAACAAAATCTCAATTAGTCCCTTTTATGACATGCTTTCTAAGGGGCATGACAATTTACCCCCCCCCCCCCCCACAATCATTGGAGCCCCTTGTAACCAACACAATATGCAGCTGAGCTTACTCTCTACCTAATTGTTGCCTCTGTTGCACTAAATGGATGACAAAATCTGACTGTAACAAAATCCACCACCTGTGCTTCTATATGACCATGGCAGCCAATAATCATGAAACGGGATCGAAATTTCAAACAAATTAACAAGCTTTTACTTCTTCGCCTTCTCTCTGATTGCGTGGGGTGCTAAAGGAGATATAAGTTCAGCTTCTTGATCTTCTGGCTGTCTTGACCATAGACACATTGTACTGTTGTAGCTTTTCTGATGTTATCTCTCCATCTTGATCTTGACCTGTTTCTTTTCTTTTGGCGTACGATATAGTGACAGAAGGCATTCTCTCGAAGCTAATTATGTAATCTGCTGTCTTTTTAAGCAATTAACGCTGTATGTAATAACATAAACAAGCAACAACAACACATAACATTTTATTTTAAAAACCAGAGCAGCGTAAAAGATTACTATACCCCTCTTTCTGGTGTCCTTTCAACCGCAACTCTGGGATACATTCTCCACTCGGATCTAAATGGTAGAAAGGGTAAAAGTAAAAGATGGATTAGAATCCTGAAATAATTCTCTCTTTTGGTTTAGCCTCCCAGGGACACTGATTCAGTCAGTCAGTCATCTAGACAGTGAAGGCTGGTTGTAATGGATCTTCAACATTCTGTCTCTCGTCAGAATGCTGTTCATCCAGTCTTGATATCTTCCCACTTCTATCACAATCTACCACTGGCTTCTGATTTTTCTATCAAATAGTTTTTTAAACAGTATTGCCTTTTAATGTATGGCCAAAATGCAGGGTTATTCAAATGATGGACACACTTTCATCCATGTATATTTCCCGAATATACTTTTACATATAAATAATATACACACAAGAGAGACAGGGAGGTCTAAAGCAAGCAGTGTTTTCCAACCTTTTTGTGTGCCGTGCCCCACCTAAGCCTTTCTAAAAATGTTATGCTCCCTATGTAACTTAAGCTCTGGACAAGTCCATTTTTAAACTGCCCCCCCCCCCCCAATAATCACACTCCCCCCTCCAAATCAAACTGCCCCCCGTTTGGGACGAGGGCCATACATTAGGAAACACTGGTCTAAAGTTTACAAACTTAAAATAGAGGTGACAGATGTTCAATGTGGCTGCCGTCTGCTGTCAATGGAAGTCTAAGGTTAAACATGTGAGTCTTTAATTTACATAAAAAGAGATTGTTATAACTCAAAACTTTAATTTAAACTTAGATTTTATAAGGAACTGTCAAAAATCAACATACAAAGTCATCCATACTCTGAACATCAGGACTTTACTACACAGTTACCTGGCTTAGACGGATGCTTTGTGTAGTCGAACACAAGAACATCACTGGAGGGAGTCTTTGTTGCAATAATACAAGGGTTCTGTGGCATGTACCGAGCTCGATTCACCTCTCCTTCGTGGTTGATTTTGATCTCGATCTCAATCTTTCCGCTGACTGAACCAAACCCACCAAATTCTAGAAAAAAAGTGCAGACAGTAATAACATCACTAAATTACTTGCAATAAATCAACAATGAATATTTAATGTACTTGTGGATGGAAATAATTACAGACTAAATGTTGAATGTTTAAGAATCAACATCACAAGTGCTCTGTCCTCATCTTCAGCAGCAAACGTAGAGTTCCAACTCCAATGGTAAAAGTAAGTCTACATCTGCCTCGCCTTTCCCTTGAGTGTTCAGAGTCGGCCAGATTCCCCCGTCACTCCTAGCAGGACGTTCCTCTCAGACTGATTATCTATTTGTGCCTCTGCACTGTTAACTCATTACCAAAAGACCCTTACAACATCTTGCGTGTCATGCATCAGTTCACCACCCAGCGGTGCAGAACCAGCTAGTCTATCTGCCTGTTTAATTCTCAACATATCAGCATACCTTGGAGAAAAATAGTTGAGAGACGTTAACCACCTGAGACCTCCGAAGCAATCCTTGCCACTTGACACGGAGCATACCTGTCTCCACCTTTCTTCAACATGAGATGTGAGTTAGTAACAATTGCGATATGTGTACAGCTGGTAACTGTATAGTAGTGTGTAATTACAGATAAAAGCCATGACTAATTTGTTGGCTTACTATGAACCCCCTCTTCCCCAAATGACCTTGGCTACCATGACAATTCAGCATAAAACAGGTGCTCAGGAAAAGTCCTGGAAAGTAAAGGTGGTTGGCCACATCATCTACCGGAAGTCTATAAAAATCTACGCCTCACATCATATGCTTAATGTGCAGTGACATAAAAAGGGTCCTTTATTGTGCTTAACCAACTCAAAACTCAGGGTGTTGAAGGGGATAGAATGTTTCTGTTTCTCCTAGTCCTTTCTATACAGATCGATCCTCAATGGTTGATGCAGTCACATTATTTCCTGGCATCCATTTCGGGTCGCATCAAGCCGGGAGCAGTAGATCTATTATAGAAAATCCACTGTCGTGTGGATTCAATTTAAGACCTTAGGCCAACAGGTAAGCGGACACAATAAGCACCTTCTAATGTTTGGACTCTTCTAGCCCTTGTTGTAGGGCATTGGTGGTCCTCTCTACCCACAGTCTCTCTTTGACCTGTTTCAGGTCTAACTTTTCCACCATCACAATGTATTTCAGTTTTATCCTTCTCGTTACCATGCATAATCACTAAATATATTAATATTTAAATTTAAATGTATAATCAATGAATATATCTTTAAAACAATTTCTGTTCTAGAACTAATATCTTTAAACAGGACCCTTTTCCACGCCTTTAAGCATATTGGACATATAGTGCTAAACCTATACTTTATGGAACAATTGGCACTCAGTGGGTGATGTGGTCAGCATCATACCAGCTGGCTTTACTTCCAAGGACTTTCCCTGGTACCCATTTAAGGCTGTGTCAACCTGGGAGTCAAGGTCATTTAAAAAAAAATTAAAAAAAGTCCAGCACCATTTGGATTTGAACCCACGACCTTCTGATCGACATGCTGAAGTATAGCCGCTAGACAACAGCGGCTTCCAGATGAGAATAATGATAAACCATAAAACCACATGCGCAAATTTTTCTGTCTGTTTTGAATGCAACAGTTGCATAGGCATAAAGACAGCCAAACAAGTGGGGTAATAACACGAAGAAGTGTACAAGGGGGAGTCTGATACACTGTACAACTACATTAGAACTGTTGATGCTATAGGTCGTCCAGGCATTTCTTACATTTAATCTCTTTATAACATAATAAACACTTATTCGCAAAGCATCCTCACCTCCCTTGTCACTATCATAATGTGAAGCATCAAACTGTGCGTTGTCGTTTGGCAACTGAACACTTGCTATCAAAAGATGGTTCTGTTCATCTGACCTGAAAGTAAACAGGCAGCTCAAGTAAGAAGAAACATTAATATTTAGGTATTTTTATTAAAGAAAAAAATGTTTGCACTTTGACAGAAGGATCGACAAAGAAGAAGACACTCATAAGTAAAGCACCCATCCGTAATAGGGAAGTTGTAAAATTTCATGACATTTTACATTTTTATTTCATCAAGAGTTTGTTGAGGTTTTCCTAGAAATGTTGCTGTTTTAAGGGTGTGTCACACATATGCTCCAATAAATGACTGTCTTATGCATGTTGGCGTGTGTGTGTGTGTGTGATCACATGGACTGATCAGACAGTCAACAAAAACTGATGACCCAATGATAAGTGGTATTACTGGACTATGATGATGACATATTTTCTAAACAAGTTAGTCATGTGGAGCGAGAAGAATGATTTAACATTTATATTAGCAGTACAACAACACACCCACACTGGACTATAGGTTATACGTTGACTTCATAACCATTCTGTGGTGCCCCAATATAACAGTGCAATATGGCCATATGGTTGAATTGGGGTTCCAGGGTTTATAGCTGTTTGATTCACACCCTTGAGATTTTAGTCCTACATTATGCAAATCTAGAGAGGAAAAAACTTTAAACAAAACTGAATACATTTCCAAAGAAAGCTCAAATTTCAAGATACTATATAGCAGAACTACAGGATTTGATAGAGTCGAAAGGGCACACCAAGAAAGACCTTGATACAGAATCTGACTGACTGTCCACTGAATCTGACCCATGGAGATGGAGGAAATCGATGAGGCAGCAACTAGAGACAAAACAACACCCTATGCTATAGGGTCCAACATCTGGAAATCAAAGACACTTAACAAACACACAAAACTCAAGATCTTCAATTCTTGTGTGATTCCAGTACTAACCTATGGATGCGAGAGCTGGAAATCAACGAAAACTCTAGACACAAAACTAGACAGTTTTGAAAATAAATGCCTTAGAAGAATACTAAATTTCAAATGGTCAGATTTCCGAACCAATACACAAATAAGGCAAGAATCCAGGCAAGAGTATGTGTCTAATTTTATACGAAAAGGCCGCTGGAACTATGTCGGCCACGCCCTTAGAATGGATAAATCAAGACTTCCTTACCAAGCCCTCATTTGGACACCACAGGGGGAAAGATCTCGTGGAAGACCAAGGGAAACCCTACATAGAACTATCATCAGGGAAGGCTCGCTCATGGGCCTCTCAAATATCCAAGACCTACAACAGATTGCAACGAACCGCCATGCATGGAGAGTCATGACCTCTGCCCTATGTGCTGCACTCGACACAAGAGGAAAGACTAACTAACTAACTAATGCTATAGGACTCTGACACAGTTGTACGGTCCATCTTTTATAATATCTGGTCTTCACAAAAGGTGTGACATATAATACTGATAAAAGAACTGCTATATCACAAAATGTAGATATATGTGATAGCTGACATCAGTCACAAGGCAGTGGCTAATGATGATAATTATGTAAGTTATGCTGAAATCAACAATCAGGTATAGTTTCAAAGTTTTAAGGTGATAAAGTGTTTTGACCTATCACAAAACTAGGCTCTCACACTGAAATGATTGGCACCATTGTAACAACTGTGGAAGAATAAACAGTACACTCACTGCATAAAATGCCTCTATGGGTGAGGAGAGAAGGTGTTAGGAAAGAAATGATACACAATTTTCCCTAGCAAGCAGGCTGTAAAAAACAACTAATTTCAGGTTTGCTGAAATTGGATGGGTATAAAGGTGCTGTATTTCAGCCTTGCTATAAACTATAACACAACATACGAACCGCCTTTTCAAGAGCAAACAAGGTATAAAAGGAAAAAGACAAGGAAGAATAACAAAGCATAAAATAAGTGGAAGTGGTTCATATGTCAAAAACAACTTTTTTTACATCTTTAGAAAAAACTTACGTATGGGTACCAAGGATAAGCCTGTGCAACGAGTAGTCCTTTCCTTCTGGTCTGAAACGTAAAGCAATAAAACCAAATGTCATTTAGGTTGCCAAAAAAAATTGTGCAAATGCTGCTATTTAAATTTAACAGCAAAACAACAAAGAATGAAATACCACGACATACAGCAGCTAGATAATCATATGCAGAGTTTTTCCGTGCGGGTTCCGGGGCCCCATTGTGGGGAAAACAAGAATAGACCCACTGCCTGCCCAAAAGCATGTCGTAAGAGTCGACTAATTGGCAGCTTCCTTCGAAGTCGGAGTAATCTGCCTGTGAGATAAGGAACCAACAGTCAGTATGCAAATAACTCAGACCTGTGAAATCGATATACACGCAACCCTCAGTTTCTGGAACAGGACTAGAGTCCAGAAGTGGACGAACAAGCAGAACTTTTCCGCCAGAATTTACAGCCGGCAAACGCAAAGAAGAAGATATGCAGATTTGAAAGTCTTGTCAGGCCTGTGCAGGCCAGATTTGGCCCACTAATTAATCTAGACTAAAATGGGTACCAGAAAATGTCCTGGGAAATAAAGACAGCTGACGTGATGTTGGCATCACCCATCGAGTGCTAACTGGTCTACAAAAATCTAAGTCTAGAACTATATGTCTTATGCACCAAAGTGTAAAAGAGGTCCTCTGCTTATTTTTTTACAGTCTCACTTACATGACACACAGTGAAAAAAATTATATTATTTACTAACTACATGGCTGAACTAGCAAGTAAGACTTCCAGTTAAAATGGACGCTAGACAGTGGCGCTGTTCGAAGTAGAGGCAAATTTTTTGCTTCTGCCGGACGGTGGCCGAAGTATTTTTGCTCCATTTGTAGACTGGATGTAGTTTCGTCGCCCAGCTTCTGAGCTGAATGCATGGCGTGACCCTGTGAGCTGCGTATTGCATTTGGAATGTATTTTCGACTGTGACCAACGTGGTGGTGTGAATTGTAGATTCAGAAAATGGCGTGATGCCTGTCGTGCAATGTTGGCAGTGCCCGTATCTGGTTAAAATTGATCGCGTGGACAACTGCTGAACTGTTGGCGACAAGTTCTGCTATCATCAATGATGAACTGCATTTCTAATGTTGGACTGTTTGTGTTAGCACTTCGGACGGCTACCGTATGCTTTAATGCGAGTGTATGCTAGATATGCT